TCCTTTCGCTGCAACCTGGTGGCATACTCTTGCTCACACAATACCTTCAACCACCAATCCTCAAATCTCTCTACCGCTCTCGCAATATACAGAGACCATCTCTTTTCTCGCATCGCTACTAATGCTTTGTCACGGTTCTCGACGACCGGAAGTTCGCAACGTGCATCCCATAGACCAAACAATCCATCGGTATAACCGACATCTTCTTTGAGACTATGGAAAGTCTTCAACAACTTGAGGTGCGCAAGACATAAATCTTCATTTGGAAAAGCAGGAATACTTGATTCCGAGACATTGAGATTGGAAAAGGCAGCAGTCAGATCTGATTCGGCGGAACTATCGGTAGCTGTGTAACCTGGCGGTTCTTCGGTTATTATGGTTGAGGAACTAGGAGACAATGACGAAGGTGGGTGTTCGACATGAGCGGAAGGGACTTCTTTCTCGGGAGACTTTTCTTGGTCTCCCTTGTGGATTAATTTATTGAGAAAAGGCATAATGTCGTGGATGTACCTCTATTCCATCCGAGGAAAGAAATATTATGTTTTAGATGCGGACTTCTGGCATTTATCGTAGCAGTTGCAACTGTATGATTTGTTATGATGATTGTGTAAAATGAAGTTGGCAAAGGAAAGATGGATGTAAGGAGTAGACGAGGAAATTCACCCACCATATATATGGTGGATTAGTTGATTGCATTCATGAGGTGGAAACGTCTGATGCACGCGCAGGTAGTCAGTATGCAACGGGATGCAACAATGTTACAGCTTGGTAGTGAGGCTGAGATGTGCTGTGCAGAAATGACAGGAAGAGAAGATCGCCCTGATTATGACGCTAGAAGCCTTCTGGAAGGAAGGTGTAGGTGTATCTCACGCCTTCAAATTGATGTAGTGAAAGTTTGTCGTAAAATCCATTCCGACGACTGTCAGATGATGCTTAACGAATGCTTGATAAATGCTTGATAAAGCTTCTCATCCAATCGACAATCAAGTCTATTCCCTGGTATCCTGTTGCCTTCACCAGCTTTGCAAGTAAAGTCCAAGCAACCAAGACACGTTAGAGAGACCTAGGCTTAGCATGAATTTCCAGTCAAAGTTCCCTTCCCGAACATATGGAAAAACGGAAGGATGGCTTTAGCCGGCGTGCTACTATCGGGCTGCGGGCAGAGGATCACCGTGGAGGCTTAGCGTTGATCATTCGGTCATTCTCTTCCATGTTCCATTCTTGTGCGGGGCAGACTCTAAGAGTGCCCATTCTCGCCATTCCCGTGACTTTCGTGCTTACTAATACGTTCACGTGATACACATCAGACCTCTCAGCGCTCGGACCCTACATAGCCCTTGTTTGGTTTCTAGCCAGTAATTTGTTCAGATGCCAAATCTGCGTGGGCTTGATGAAATTCATCAGACGGAAGAAGGAGAAGTAGATAGTTATTGGAAAAATATACTCCTATTCTCCTTTTCTATACCACCACCACTTTTCATATCTCTCTTATATTATTTCAGTCTCTACTGCTAGATTATTTGTGTGCTGTGCTCAAATGCTACCTTCTTTATGTTTTTAATATCGGTGCTGCGTTATGCACTCTTTCTTCTTGTGCCTCTCTCCTTGACTTTCACCTCTTATCTTTATTTGTACCCTGCATTCCATGGTTGCGCTTTTCCTTCTCCTGAATACGATGCTTCAGAAGCATACGTCAATACACTCCGTCAACACACGCTTCCAAATTCGTATGATCCCAGCAAGGTAGCACCGTTCAGGCTCCTGGCTTTGGGGGATCCTCAACTCGAGGGTGAATCATCCATACGAGATCTCGATTCTGTCAATTTGCCCAATTTGAAGAAGTTCTTTCAAGATTCGGGACTCGTCAGCGGCACGAAACATAGCCTTTTACAGCGTGTGCGACACAGCCTCCATGATATAATAGATTTCTGGCTCGACGATCTTCCCAAGGCTTTCGAAGTCTATCGCAAACGATTTGACCACATTGGCAATGATTATTACTTAGGACATATCTACCGCGCAACGCACTGGTGGCTGGACCCTACACATGTTACTGTACTTGGAGATCTTGTAGGGAGTCAATGGATAGATGATGAAGAATTCGAGGAACGTGGGCGAAGGTATTGGAATCGGGTATTCAAACATGGAGAACGAATTCCGGATGAGATTATGTCGCCGCCCGCTTTCGACTATCAGAATACAATAATGCTGGGAGATGATGCTGCGGCATGGAAGACGAGAATTATAAACGTGGCAGGTAATCATGATGTTGGGTATGCTGGAGATATTTCAAAGGATCGACTTGCTCGATTTGAGCGTGTCTTTGGAAAAGCGAATTACGAACTTCGATTTCAGCTACCTTTCAACCATAATGCTTCTTCAATTTCCACGACAGGTATTCAGACAGATGGGAGGGACATTCCTGAAATTAGGATTGTGATCCTTAATGACATGAATCTCGATACGCCCGTGTCGGACAAAGACCTCCAAGACGAGTCATATCAATTCCTTAATGACTTGATAAGTACTTCTCACGCCGTTGAGCGATCCGCACTTTTTACATTAGTCCTCACTCATATCCCGTTGCATAAAGACGAAGGGATCTGTGTAGATGGACCGTTCTTTGACTTCTTCGATGGAGAATTCGAGAATGGAGTTAAGGAACAAAACCACCTCTCCCGCGATGCCTCCAAAGGTATGCTAGAAGGTGTATTTGGCATGAGCGGTAGTGCGCGTGTAGACGGGCAAGGTATAGGAAGACATGGCATTATTCTAACCGGCCACGATCACGAAGGCTGTGATATCTATCACTACATCAACCAAAGCTTGCCCGAAGAGGACAGAGAGTGGAGGTGCGATAGATACCCAGAAGCCAAACATCTAGTGAATCAATCAGGTATACCCGGACTGCGTGAAGTAACTGTACGGAGTATGATGGGGGATTTTGCTGGAAATGCGGGATTACTGAGTTTATGGTTCGACAAAGAAAGTTGGGAGTGGCAATTTGAATTTGCGAATTGTGGATTGGGTACTCAGCATATTTGGTGGTTTGTGCATATTTTGGATTTCATCACGGTGATTGTAAGCATAGTTTATGGTGTTTGGCTCGCTGCCTTTAAGGCTCGCTCAATTTTGGGGCTATGTGAGAATGGGAAAAGAGGTAGGAAAAAGGAGAAAAAAGTTACCTTCGAAATGGCACCAGATACTGATGTTGACCCAGAGAAGTCGAGGGGCGGAACCGACAATGGCAAGAAAGAAGTTAAAGGAGATGTCAACAGGAGTCGTAAATGAGAAGTGGAGTCGAGTCAGGATTTCTTTTAATAATACCCCGGGAAGATAGATTAATCTGGATAGATTGTATTATCATAGTTCAAATTCAAGGCGGAAGTACGCTCTACATGAAATCAATTTTTCAGGAAAGGTTTCTGCATTGAAGACTTGTTACTAGCATTTTGTTGTCGAAACACTTATCGACAGATAGATTGATTCGCCCTTTGAGACAACGATCCCCTCGCTTGGCAAATCTAGCTGGTATGAGTCTATTAATCATTTGGTGCTTTCATTCAGTGAAGGCTTGTACTGTATTTGTTCACGCTGAATAGATCCGTCAATTCAAAGGCTTAGAGATAGGACCTGCACGGAATGACGAATCTCTGGCCTATAGTTGTAAGGCCAAACAAGTGAATTGGTGGTTGGTATTCACCTACTATCTCGGATAGCTGGAGATGAACAATCCTTTCAGGGGTTTCTTAACCCCTTTTATGCAGGTATAGGTTTTGTCCTCAGCTTCCTAATTAGCCAAGAAAGTATGAGGTAACCGTACGCCAAGTCTTATAGACTATATTTGCGGCTCAAACATTTTGTCTTTTATTCGATCGCTCTTTGAATGTATTGTTAAGATATAATATTTGCAAAGCGATGATTTCAAAGAAGGTCCAGTAAAGTATATACTTGCACGGGCGAGCAACTTTTGGATATCTATGTGTCAACCTCGAGGTGGGTATTTTGGTAAGTTTACGTCAGTATTCCTCTTCAGAAAGGCGCTGGATGGTAGGATGCCGGAAATTTCAATCTATCATGTATATGTGTTCGTGAAGTATCGCCGCAAGACGGACATTGGTGAATATTGAAAAAGGGTCAATTCACCTGTAGCTTTATAGACTCCCGGGTAAAAGACTACGTTGAGAAGGAGGTGTAAAGTACCTCGATTTCAAGCGTGGACATTGCAATGACCAAGCAAAACGGAAAGGACATAAGAACATTCGAGCTCATTTGAAAGGTAACTCAAAGCTATCAATTACCATGTAGCTGATCGACTTAATGAACCGAGACTTGGCGAACAAACGACACAGATACTTTTACAAATTCTGCCAATAACACAATACCCAGGTAAGACCGTGCTTGAATTTCCACAGATGAATACAGAAGATGACATACCGAGAAGGATGCTGCCACTCAAATTTCCGAGTTCAGAGTCATGATTGAATTGTCACGGTTCAACGGAACATGAGTTATCGATACCTCTGCCGGTTCTCCCAACGATATTCCAGCATCCAAAGTTGCGAACGGATCGTCTTACCCACCCAATTTGGTGTTTTTGGATTATTTGATTAAGGAGAATACCTATGGCGAGAAACTTTGGCTCACTCACTATGTATGGTTTGACGAGTTATGTGGTTCCGATTCTGAGCGAAGACAAGATATTTCTAGAATGGATTCATAGCTTTGAATCGCAAAGCCATAGATTGGTATGATAGAATAATACAGCAGTAGATACATACAACACAATTGAACACAAGAGCTGTACTTCACGTTCAATTCATCCAGTGAATGTCAATCATTCTCAGCTTCCTCATTTTTGAAAATTTCATTTTCATTTATCAACCACTTGACTGCTTCTTTTACTCAAATACACACATACCACATAACTTAAAGTTACACACCAAGATACTTTTGCTTGTCACGACTCAAATTCTTTACACGTGGAACATATTGGCAGGATGCAGAGCAACCAAGGAATGATGAGGCTTCCATATGAAAGCATATACGATGAGATTCTAGCCAAAGCAACAAGCTCACAGTACGGCTGCACAGATGAAGAAGTCAACAACGTCTTGCAAGAGATGCAGGAAAGATATCAGGAAAGATATCCTGGGGAAAGCTACGATCCATATTTTTGTGATGTCGCATGCCCCAATCAACCATGGTTGGTCGAAAGTTGGGCTTGGATATATTTATGTATGTAGAGTTTCGAGTTCACATTCACCTTGATGCTGATCAAGCTACAGTTCCTGGAGAACCTCGACCTTGGCGCTTGTCAAACCACACAGAAGAAGAGTTAGGATACTATACGGTGCTATATAGACATGCGGTACACTTATTCCGAGCCACGAGCAAAGAAGCACAAGGTGCCTGCCGTGTAGGAGATTTCGCTTCCGTAGCAGCTCAGCAGTGGGATAGCGAGCCGGTTGTCAAAGATGGATCTGAAATGGATGCCGAGTCGACACTAGCTGCGAATGATGATATTCCAAGAAAACGGTCCATGCCAACTAATGAGGAAGCACGAAAAAAGGTCAAGACGACGAAGGATATGTAGATTGTAGCGAGCGCGTTGATTTTGAAGGCGAGGGGAAATTTTGATACGATCAGTCGTTTGCAACACTTGCAAGAATATTCGAGCAACGAAGAACTACTGCTATAGCACGAGATGTCTGTCTTTCCAAATCGCAAGATGATAATGGTGCTGAATCTAGAAGGAGTCGGCACCACGGCGGTGACCATAAGAGAACAGAGCTTTCCGAATCGCTAATTGAGACCTGTAGTGTCAGTCATATCAGACGTGGCAATGCATTGGTTGAATCATTTGGTCTCGGCGGTATGATGTGATTGAGAGTACGTAAGAGACTGTGGAAAAGAGGTATTCAGAAAGTTCAACCCGTCTCTTTGTTAGGAAAAGCCAGTGCTATGTATTGATACAAAGGCACAGGTTCTTTTTCAAATGCAGAGCTGGTCCAGCTAAATCTTTGACTCTCTTTCTAACACCTCTAGTTCTCCTATTCAAATTCAAATATATGTATGCCCGGAAGAGCTACATGATTCGACGTCGAATATTTCGTTCGAGGCTAGAGAGAATGTCTAAAGCCGGTGACCTGATTCATTATGGATTTAATCAAGGTAGAAAAAAACGTACTATTGGTTACTGAATGTACGAGAAGTTCCCTAGTGATGCATGTGTGCAGTCATTCCTGCAGTCTAGACTCAAGTCATCGATGTTTCTCCAATAGTGTAAGCACACCTTCACATGTCAAGACTTGAGAGTGCAGTTGGCCCCAGTTAACGTTCGCCATGCGTAAGACGGGATCCCTCCATCCAGCGATTTGGAGCTCGGCTTCAATTGGTATGCGACGCATCCATATTGAAACAAGATACAAAGGGGTGGTGTATCACCATGTACACGCAGCTATATCTAGTTGGCACTGCTGTATATCGTATGATACAAATAGGCAGGAGATCAAGGGTTCAATGTACATGGCATTTACTATAGTCTACGGAGCAGAGATGACAAATAATCCTTGGGTCTTAGCAATGATCCGCGTAGGGTTTAGATTTCATGTTAGTCTCGCAGATGTACCTGGTGTCTTGGAAGAGAGAGATGAAAGGGTTGATAAAGAAGAAGCCCCATCTAGGTCGAATCTCAGGAGCGTATCTTGGAAGCGTTTCTGATATATGACATATGATATTTGATACACGATATATGATAAAAGGGGCTTCGTCATTGGCAGCACTGGTATTCGCAAGAAAGGAAAGAGATTCACACACTCAAGATCATGCTACATATGTGCCGTATCGGTGAGAAGAAAAGATGGGCAACTTTTAGCGGGTGATAAGAGATAAGACATGGAAGAATTCACATGGCTGCCTCTCCCGTAAAGTTGACCATGTTTAAGCACAATACGCAGAATACACACACAAGATGCAGCCGTGAGTACGTAGTAGGTAATGAAGAAGGGCCTCTCTCGTAGCCTCCTTTCCCTTTATCATATCCAATTGAGGAATGTTGTACCACGAGTAGGTAGGTCAGAGATTACATAACGTCTGATTCAAAGGTACTGATGGAATTATTACACTTTCACATGCTCCTTGGCATTGCATCAAACAAGTTTAATCCACACGGGCCACACGGGCCATACCATTCATCATTCCACTATCGCTTTCTGACTTTCTATCAATCAATCCGATCCAATCCAATCCAATCCAATTCAATTCATTCACCAGTCTATCAATCCAATCCAATCCATTCCATTCCATTCACCAGTCTATCATTCCATTCTATTCCATTCAAATTCAGTCCAATCCAGTTCAATCCACTTGACAACATCTTCTGCACCGTCATCCACCCTCCCCCAAACGAGAAACAAAGAAAGAAAAGAAAAGAAAAGAACTCTATCATATGCCAATCCCAATAGCTTATTTAGCCCCTGGGCTGAAAATGTCCAATCAATCCTCCAATGGTCCGGGTTAAACCCCGTTTGCAATCAGATCAGGGAATGCGTTGAGCACATGCAAATTCACATATCTCATCTTACTATTATATTTCACCCTCTCTTGGACGAGAATCCAGGCTTGTGGCGCATTGAACTTTACCCATAGTTCTTGCTCTTCCATCACTTATTAACCTTAGACACCACACATCTTTGATTGACCAACAAACTTACTTTCAATCTTCTGACCACCATCTCTCACCCATCTCCCTCACAGCTTCATACTAGTCATATTTCCATCCAGGAACGAATTGTCAGATACCAAGCAACTAGTATGTATACTCCTGCTTGCCATTGCTGTCTTCTGCAAGGCACGACCATACAGTTCTGATCTAGAACAAGCCATATCATGGTGGTATAGAATCCGGGACCCAGCTAACATTGTACCCATCAATAGTCACATATAATACCACCTTTGTCCTACACGTCTGAGAAAGAATGGCACCTCAAGTAAACGGCGAGACTCCCTCATCTGTCTTCCTCGATGTGAGTTATCCCACCAAATCATGAATTTGTTTCAAGCCATGATACTGACGCCCATGAAATCTAGCATCTCACATCTTACCCTCTCATCCACGACTCTATCTCTACCTTCAAGTCTAACCCCTATGGCCAAAGATCCATCGACTTGACTGCAACCTCTTACGAGAAGTTTGGCAAACCATTCATTCCATACCTCCAAAAACCCTACCAATACGTCTCCCCTTACGTTGCGAAAGCCGATGAGCTTGGCGACTCTACTCTATCCACCATTGAATCGAAATTCCCTGCCGTCAAGAAACCTACCGGCGAACTCTATAGTGATGGAAAAAACTTTGTGTTCTATCCGATAACAAAAAGCAACGAGGGAAAGGAATATGTGTTGGGAAAATACAACAACGAAGTCAAGAAGACGGAAGATCAGGGTTTTGTTGGCTATGGAAAAGCAGTTGTTAGCACAGGATTGATTGTATCAAGTGAGGCCTTTCAATGGCTGAGCCAATTTCTATCAGCCAAGAAGGCAGAGGCCAAGGAGGTAACCAACGAGAAGGTAAACAACTAGGAAACATAGAAGGATGAGATAGGAAGTAATGAGACGCGATTGTCGGTGGAATGGTAAATAAAACGATGCCATTTCTTTTAAATGGATCGGAATGTGGGAAACGAATGATGGAATGAAGGGAAATGAAGCTACATAACCGTCGTACATTAATAAGGTTACATTCGGGATTCTCCACCTACAAATCAAAAATGCTCTTTCGGGGTTTATTTAAATGAGAATAAGGATATACGTCGCGTATAATTTTCTCGAGAGAATAGCGAGAGCGATGGTTACATTTTGTGCTTCCAGGTGAATCGTTTGCATCACATACAGATTTCTTCCATGATACTTTACTCGCTGTGAGACCGACCACAACGTGCAAAATTCGATATCGTGATACGGTTATCTGTATCTATCTAGGCAATGAGACGTCATAGTCTATGACGTTCGGGGTTATCTGCATGCATCGTAATTTGAATGACAGCATAGATCTGCCGCGAATGGACGATCCCAAGATATATGGTATGGGTTAGAAAGTTGGGAGACTGGACTGGGTAAATCCGTAGCTACTCAGCAGCGCGAGTTGTATTCTATTTCGAAACATGGCTGACTATCGGAAGCATCCAGAAACTCTCAAGAAAAGATAGATATCATCCTTTACCAATCCCACTCTTTCTCGGTCATTCGAAATATCGAATTCTCGATGTCTAAGTCATTCCTCATGAGCATATTATCACCGCTCTGCCCTCCACTATTCGGAGTTTAAGCAAACAAGCGAGCAAGCAAGCAAGCAATACTTCCCCGACTACCCCCACGTCGGATTTTAGGGTTCTGGCTGCTTAGATTGATATTGTAAATCATGTGGGTCGAGCGTCATTCTCCGGAGTCCTGGAGATGCTTTGATTGGTTTTCGCTGATGCCAATGAGGGGTAATTGAGCCTACTCTGTATTTGATAGTGCTTAGAAAATGGATTTTATAAAGAATGGACATGGTTACCATTGGACCAGCCATACCCCTTAGGGCTCTGGCGTCGTACTTATAACACATTATATACCTATTCAGGCTAGCACCTTCTTCTAGCTTCCAACCAAATTATCGGATGTGGGTGCCAAGAATGGAGAAGAGTTTCACGACATTTCCAACAGTTTGGTTGAGTGACCTTTACGATGGGCGTTTTGGGATGCAATTGTGTGCAGCAGCTGGATGGATTGGATCAGCAGTCCAACATGTCGGTTTTACTGTAGGAGCTGCGAGTCGTCTTTATCGCCGAAACTTGGGCACGTCATGCATGTCACACAAGTTTGTACAAGTGAATCAATAGAATCTGTGAGGGGAATTTGTATAAAGCGGAGTGAATATCTTCGAAAGAGAGAAATCCTCATACTCAGATAACATCTTCTGCATTGCAATCATACCTTGACTCTTCTCACACAAGAACAAACAACTTACCAACCCACACCTCTTCTAAACCTAGCATCCATCTTTCAATCTACCATACACAACAAAATGTCTTCTCAAACTCAACAACCAAAGGTTCTCTTTGTCCTTACCTCCCACGATAAGATGGGTAACACTGGAAAGCCTACTGGCTGGTATCTTGTTTGTCTCCCTTCATACCTCACATTATATCAGCTACCTACAAATCTTTTCCTCTCTCTACAGCTTCATAGCTAACATTTCTCCTTTTTTCTAGCCCGAGTTTGCTCACCCATATGATATTCTCTCTCCTCATGCTCAAATCAATGTCGCCTCTGTCAGCGGTGGTGCTGCTCCTTTAGACCCCGCATCTGTTGAAGCTTCCAAAGATGATGTTTCTGTCAATTTCTTGAAGAATGAAGAATCTCTCTGGAAGAATACTGCACCCCTTTCAGACTTTGTAGGCAAAGCCTCGGAATTCGATGCTATTTTCTATGCTGGTGGTCACGGTCGTAAGTAATCCCCCGTTCTTTCCCCTGTAATTTATCGAGGGACGTCACAAATTATGCAGACAGTTTACTAAAAATAATAATAAAATAGCAATGTGGGATCTTGCACACAACGAAACATCTCACAAAATCATTTCTGAATTTCACTCCAAGGATCGCATTATCGCAGCTGTCTGTCACGGCCCTGCAGCCCTTGCATATGCCAAACTTCCTTCCGGCAAATTTTTGCTTGAAAATGCCCCGGTGACTGGATTCTCAAACACTGAGGAGGAAGCATACATTGGCCTTTCAAACATGCCTTTTGAGCTAGAGACAGCTTTAGGTGAAGCTAGCCATGGCAAATTCGAAAAGGCGTCAGATGACTGGGCACCACACATAGCAGTGGCAAATGGAGGAAAGATTATCACGGGACAGAATCCGGCGAGTGCTAGCGGAGTAGGAGAGGCTATCTTGGTACAGCTGAGAAAGGAGGGCAAGAGTGCTTAATTTTGTTATTATGATGGGAAAGATTGAGGGGCGAAATGGAATTTGGGGTTCAGCGCGAGTTAATGGGAAAGGACTGTAAAACAATTTAGACGAATGCGAAGCTTTCACATATATATCACTACGCACTCTTTTATTAACGTGAAAAATAAGCATACATTCGTTCATGGCGAAGACAACATGTCCCTTTGAACAGTCTCGGGCCAGTGCCCGCCTTTCTCTAGATCGATATCTAGAACTCAAGTGATAAGAAACAGGTTGTTCATTAAACATTCCCTTCTGTATAATCATGAACATACGGGGAATAAAGTTACCTAGCCCATGATCATAAGTATAAATTTTCGGGAGAAAAAGAAGAAGAAACAGCGATTTGAGGTATTTGCCACGTGAATTTGGTCTACTGTATGAATTTACAGAGCAGGTGATTGAAGCATTAGATCTCTTCGTCAATCTTCTCGAACTGCTGCAGTTCATTTCAGATTACTGCATATTAGGACGTGGAAGAATAATAGTAACCTGAAATCTATTCGATGCGGGTTATCATCACATACAATTCTGTGGTGGGAGATGGGATATGCTAGGGGAACTGGGTTCTGGATCCTTCGTGGGGATTTTGTCGTATGAAAAAAGCCAAAACGAGCTCAGTGATTCTATAAATTCTTGGGGGAGGGGATTTATCACAAGCCCTCCCGTCCACCCATTTTCCGTCATCTACTGCGGACTCCGGAGTCTAGTCTCAGTAGGTTAGTTCGCTTTTGAAGCTAGAGTGATTAGATCCATCGACATTGATCCTGCTACATGCGTCTCACAACCTGGTGTACACAGGAGTCTAGCATCATATATCTTTGGATTTCTCACGAACAATAGACTACATCGCCAAGAGGGAAAGTCGAGCTAAAAGCTAAAAGCTTCTATCGACACCAAAGCCACACTTTTGTTTGAGGTGATTGCGAGCACCTGTATGAGATATAGTGGTATCATTCTAACGAAGTATAGTGATGGAGAAATTTCAAAACAATAAGCCAAACGAGGTTAGCAGAACGGATGCTGAAAAGCGAGTCTTAATATCAGTCGAGTACTTCGTCATAAAAGCGCTGCGGACGAACTTACATCTTGGCTCTCCTCGACATGATTCACTCAAGATAAGGTCTCTCTCAGAGACATTCTTGCAGAAGAAGCCTCTCTCATCAAAACCTTTAGCTCATGAAAGTTTCAGAGACATTATTCCAGAACAACCTGCCGCGTGGCGTCTGCTCCCAGGAGACTGAGCTTCTCGACACAATTTGGTGTCATGGAGAAAGCTCGAGTGAGTGATTCGAAGTAATTTGGAATGAAAGTGATGCCTTGATTGTCGGGGTATAGTATTTTATGAGGCGAGATAGAAGTAGAAATGAATGGCAACAATAATTGGTACATGATCTTCGTTGGAAAAGGGTATAACGACAGCAAGCCCTTGGTGACGAAAAATGAAATATTAGATAAATGAATTATGACTTCCTAAAAATGCAAAACCTCGATCAAATAAACGGTCGACTGTTGATATTCAGCTGAAGTCCTTAAGATCAAGGATCTAGACTCACCTCTCGTTTGCTGGTGACTAGCTTAAGTCCAAATAACTCATATTGGTTACTCTGCAGTAGAAAATGACATACCCTGATCTGGCCGTTGTAACATTGCTTCTTATCTATACAGGCATTGGCGAGAGAACTGCAAAACATATATCACACACTTGACAATCCACGCTGAAATTTAACGCCTTCGGCAAAAAACAAGATTAACTATTTGCTAATACTTCTCTTCGGCTAATCCTACTTCTACAACTGACCACAAGAATAGCATCTATTCAGCATAAAAACTACTCCCTCTACCCACAGAGCTCAAGTTCAGTTTGACGCCGTTGGAATGAATCTTTGTATCTAACATGAGATGAGATCAAGTTGATAGCATCCAGGCTGGGATGTCTTCAAATATGGAAATTTGTATTAGACTTGCCAATCTCATACTGTAGTTGGGTAAATTTTTTGTTGCAGCATTATATTATTACATCTGGTGTTATAGTGTCAATAGAAGAGGACAAGACTTGAGTGACAACAAAGATGAAACGGAAGAAATGACGACAACTTCTCGCTGTAGTCCAACGATATCAAGCACAAAACCCAAAGCTTTAGACACCCGATTCTTTTCACTGTCGGGAGAAAGCTCGTAACCACTTGTTTAATGTTAGCTTTAAAAGAAGTATTCATGAATGTGGATGTTGAAACTACGTTAGTAGTATAGAACTGCAATGAAAGTTGTCAAATATAATTCAATTTTCCTGGACACAGATATCAAATACTTTCTTTATTAACTACATTCAAGGATTATTCTGAGTGAATTCAAAGAATCTATGCACCTACCTCGAGCTCCTGCCCTCTTTTGCGTCGCTAAAAAAGAACACCAGCCAATATAAAAACATCTCCCCACTTCCAAGTTGCTAAAAACCAGTTACAGTTTCCGAGCAGAATCTCATTTGGCGCTTAGGCGGATTTAATCATCCCGTTGAAACTCTGAAAATTCCAATATTAGATACTTTTGCAATGGAATTTGTGACACACGTGCATATGAACAATGGGAATTGCCATAGTAACTCTCACTTCAGGAGAGAGGAGAATATGCAAGGAAAAATGACACCAAAAACTGTGGAATAAAAGTAACAATGACATTTCCCGATGAAAAATACAAAAAAATATGGACAAGTGAAACAATTATTGAGCACACCGCAATTTTCTACTCTGTGTTTCTACACGTAGCTTCCCTTGGACTAATCTGAAATCAAGATATAGCTTGTTTGCCTGTTCCATCTCATACACCAAGACTTTGTACTCTTGGAATTGTGGGCATGAGCTGTCTTCTCTCTCCAAATGCAATTGTTGGAGAATTTCTAAACACGTTTCTACGTGTCATTATAGTACGAGAAGTTCAAGTGAATAGAAGCTTTCTCATCGCTCAAACGTCACAGACTCCATCATGAATGAATATCGTGGACTAGGCCTGCCACTCTCATATGATAGTCCATCCATGTCCCCCACATCCTTTCAGCACAACATATAGATATTATCCTTCTCATTTCAATTCGACAAAATCACGTTACTGAAGCAGAGAGGGCACCGGAGAGTGTTAGATGGAGAAAGTACCTAGTAGAATGCCGAAGTACAGCTTATTGCTAAGGACAGCATGCTTTATGGCGATTCATCTCGCGATATCTCCACACTATCCGTCTGCTCTTCGACTCATCTTAGCGACAACAAAAACCACAAGCGAGGGGGCAACAATGATAGCAGAATATAACAAAAATTTCAGATGACGACAGCACACGATATCTGCAGTGAAAATACATCATATTTTTATTATCCGATCGAGAAAATGAGATCGTAGAGATGTTTTCGCCCATCCTGTATACTACACCCTTATCTCGTCGATGTCTACGGTTATCAATTGTATTGATGGATTAAGGAGCAGTGGGTGTTGGTATCTATACATCTAATTCTCGAAATTTGAAAGCTTAAGGTTAATCATCTCTTCTGTAAAGTCTCTTAATTCAGGAAAGGAACAATTTTGAATTCTGTTCTACGAGGATTAATGGGAAGTCTTTAGTATGATTGACGTATTAGACTTAGGTCCATTCGAGCCAAGAGTAGTTTGAAGATGAGAAGTAAATATGGTTAATCATTGTTGTATCATAGAAAGTCTACTTACATCGAAGTATAGAGGGGAGGAATCGATACTAATTGAAAGTTCCTCCACAACACCAGGAGTAAACGCCACGCCCTTCTATATTCACTCCCGAGTCTCCCCCACAGTTCCTCCTGAATTACTTCTCACCTATATGAAGCATCCCCATCAATCATAGATACCAAGCAAACAACCTATAAGCGGAACTACATCATCGGAATGCGACTGTATTCGCTAGCCAAAAAATAGAGCATAGAGATATATTAAGTTGAGATGCATGATATTATATACGAGTCCTTCTGTCTAAGTTTGATATACTTGCGCATCATCTACTTTTTCCAAGATGGAAATGAGCAACGTCATTTATAACGACCATTTTCATCTTTGGCGACAGTCAAAATGTAAGTACTTCATTAATCTCTATTTGACTATCGTCATTACATTAAATTCCATTCCAATCACATCTACCAGTAACCCGCGCATATAACTGCCAACACATTCCAAAACAATCAAGCCAAGATTTCACCTGTAACATCCAGAAATTCCCAATCGCCACAATAGTGTTGTCCTTCATGAAATAGCTTCTTTCCCTGGTACGAAATAGAGGATGATCATAGACCTTTTATACTTCACAATTTTTCCGCTATTAAAGAGTGAATTGTGTGCAGATCTCTGAGTACTTTCTCGCGAGGTGGAAAATAAGGTGAAGGAGGAAAGAAGGGAGGAAAGAAGAAAGATGACGAGAAACACACGAAGTGATGAGATCAAATAGAAACAAAACACAAGCAGACGACTCGACATCATTGCATCCTCGATCCCGATCTATATACTACTACTCTACAGATGGCTACCACTAGCAAGACATCAACTTACACACCGACTAAACCCAACCAACTGCAACTCACCCTCGAGAATTTGTCACTAGCAAATGCAGCACACATACACATACACACACACACACACACACCCTTCCGAAACCACAATCGAAAACCATAACACTTAGAAAGGTGTCACTCGCAAAGCAGATCAACTTAAAAACGGAGTCAACACGCTCACAGTATACCTACCCACCACACATCCACCGATCAGCTCCCCATGAAACTCCATATCTCGCCCAAAAATAAGCGAAAGGAAATCACGATGGAAACGTAACCACGATCACCTACTCTACCACCTCGACAACAGCTTACCTATGAACACCACAAGCGACAACGAAAAACTTGGCAGTAACTAATTCCATCTCATTCCAATCCCATTTCACTCCCCAGAAGTATGCAGCAGACTCCCCAAATGTCCAAATCCAAATCCAAATCCACTCCATAAATTTCCCATCAAATCACCCCCTCTCCCCTCCCCCAACGACCAACGACCACACCGCGCAGAACAACCATCGCACCTTCACTCAAACTCACAATACCCACCCCAAAAGATTCCTCTCAGTCCAAAGAAAGGATCTAGCAAACATACCATCCAATGAACAAGAAACTATGGACTGAAGTGCCGAGTAGTATATACTTAGTTAACACACTCAACGCAGTATATAGGACCCTCTCATTTCTGATCAACGGGTAGCGACCTACCCCTTTTGTCATCAGCGGACAGGTAGACGAGAGGCAAAAAATGAAAATGTACTATCTATCCTTATCATTTGCAGGCTATTAATTCAAAATTGAGTCAACAGTCACGTAAAATAAAAAGCACCAAATATCATTAGACATATATTGAAGGCCATAATTTTCATTCACTTCCCCATTCCCTACTTCCCCCCGTTACATCCATAAAAGATCTCTTTCGCTTTGCTAGCGCTTTCATATGCAAACATCACACCGCAAGCTACTGAATGCTATGCTACAGTGCTCTCTGCCTCTTTCTCTCTCTGTCAAAAAGGATTTCTTTGCTCAGCAAGTCGATCCAATTCGGAATAATAGTCCCAAAGACCAATCATCCAACCATCACACGATTCGATCTGAATCTTGCCTTGCAAACAATTGCGCCATTCCTAACACAAAAATTCACATAGTACGCCCCTTCAAACGCCAACCAACCAATATCCATCGATTCCGGGTATGAAGTGAGGTTTTGTTTCCTCGAATGCCTTTGCCTGCCTACCAGCCGTATTGACCAAGACAAGGCAGGCTTAAATGTCTTCGCTTAAAAAGGACCATCTCAATAAAAGTAGCATAAAAAAAAAGAAAAAGGGAATAAAGAAAAAGTGACAAGAAAGAAAAAGAAAACCCAATGTCATAGTCGTCCCAGTGTACATTCCGTCCAAAACAACCATGATCCAATTCCGAATTATGTAATCAGATGTCTTGAAGTTATATGCTGCCTTTTTTATCCACGAGTTCTTTTTTTTTGGTTTAATCTATCGTCATCCGATTCGTTTGTTTGTGAGAGTTGTTGAGATCCGGCAATTCAGTCATGTGATCAATCTTCTCCTCTTCACCACCGATCTTTCGTCTCCTCAAATGCGGCTTAAGACCTTTGTTGAAGTTTGCCGTACATAATGAAGCGTTCGCGATTGTTAGGATAATCAGAATGATTGTGATGACGGCGAAGCTGGTCAAGTTTTTACGAACTGGCAGATAATCCGCGGCTTTGGCCGGTTGGTACATTCGGGCAAGTTTGAAGATAAAGTAGGCCAGACCACAATGGAAGATGAAGATGGCTGAGAGCATTCCTGGTTTGTTTTCACGTCGAGTCCAGAAGGCGGCCATGAATAAAATGAAGATGGTAACGGGAACGGCGGCTATTGTCAAGCCGAATTCGAAATCTTGTACACCAGTAACGATAACTAGAAATTGAACTGTGAATCCCAAGAAGAAGAAGAAATCGAATTTCAACAAGGCAATGTAAATCTGAATTTGTCAGTATTTGTGAAGTTGTAGTAGCAAGATCGTTCGACTCACTTGGTAGGTCAAGAACCTGCGCTTCATGCGCAAATCAGCGCTAATGTGTTTGTAAATCGTCCAGGCAAATTCGTCGTAAAGTTTCCAGGCTATGAATGACATCAAGACGGAGAAGAAGGCGATAATACATGGAACGGCGACCAGTAGTCCTTGCACGGCAGGCCAGACATTTGCGTGCGCATCCACATAACCACGTTCACCCAAAGATTCAATCGCTGTTTGAATTTGATCGTATTGAATGGAGGCATAGATCAACATTCCACCATTGTACATGCAAAGACCAATAACCTGAATTGTATTTTTGAGTCGTAAAGAATCGTATACTAGAACAACTTGATAAAGGAAACCGAAAATGAATAGGGTGAGGTAGGTTGGAATTGTTCGATCGAGAGCTATTTGTTGTTTGCCCTTGACCAGACTGGTTTGAAATTTCGCAAACACGTATCTAGGGATACATATTAGTAAGTGAATTCGAGGAACGACGTTGAATCTTTTCTCAGTTGTTGAACAACTTACGATTCAATTGCCAAAACTGCAGCGGCCTGTAGGGTTGCGGCAATCATGAACGCCCACGTCCATGTGGTATTTGGGAGATACATCTTCTCTTTTCTTGCTGATGATATCGCGTTGGGTCCTGATGCGAGTCCTTCACGATGGAAATAACCTCCAGCGTCCTGTTCATATGGTCCCTGACCAAGAGAAAGCAGGGACTTTCGCGAGTCTTTGCTGAAAGCCACTTCGGCGGTGTTGAAGGCTCCTTAACAGGAGCCAAGGAGCGAATGACTTAAATCTGTCGTGGAATGAAAATCGAGGACGGATAGTTTGCGAAAAGGTTGGATCAATTCATGCACTGAGAGCGGGGGTCTCAGCAGAAGAGAATATTGGAAATGGATGGAGACTGGGGATATGCTAGTCTATCAAAAGGATGGATAGGTCCAAAAATGAATCAACGGCCGTCTGTTGTGTTTGGTTCGTTATGTGTATGAATACGGTGTGACCCAATGGTGAAACGTGAAGAGTGTGGCGTTGAGATCTTTTAGAGGTGGGTTTGGAAGTCAGTAGGGATTCTAGAAACGATCGCGGGTGATCAAAAAAGTGAAGGTCGTATGAGGAAGCCGATAAATAGAAGGAAGGGCGAGCGAGTGAACGAGTGTAAATTGTAGGAGATTATTGGCAGCGGGTTCGATAGGAGGTCGAATAACGAAGGATTCCCTTTTTTTCTTTCTTTTTGCTCTTCTCTTGAATATGAATTTAGGTTTTGCGGAAGGTCGGATGGATTTGTTGGAGGGTGGAGAGGTGAATGTGGATGTGGATGTGGATGGGAGGGATGAGGAAGAGCGTATAAAATGATGGAGGGATTGGAGGGAGAGAGAGGGAGAGAATTCGGTAGGTAGATAGAGAGAGAGAGAGAGAGAGAGAGAGAGAGAGAGAGAGAGAGAGAGAGAGGGGGGGGGGGGAGAGGGAGAGAATTCGGTAGATAGATAGGTAGAGAGAGATAGAGAGCGATAGGTAGGACGTGATAGGATACGTCGTATAGAAGGGAGGAAGTGGAGGTCTGAGTGAATGGGGGTGATTATTTCCCCGAGTATGGTTGTGTTTAAAGATGAAGGGATGAGAATACTAGCTGGGTAGGAGGTAAAGGGTAAGAGGTAGAGTAGAGTGAGTAGAGTGAGTAGAGTGAGTAGAGTCAGTAGAGTCAGTAGAGTTAGTAGAGTACCGGCAGAGTCGTATGGATAGTATCGTATCCGTAAGGGAATTCCTTAAACAGCTGAATTGGCTTATTTCTGATTGCTGAATTGATTTCTGATTACCGATTACCGATGTCCGATTTCTGATTCCGTATCTCTCATTTCTCATTTCTCATTTCTCATTTCTCATTTCTCATTTCTCATTTCTTCTTATTTGTTGATTAACTTTTTGGTACCAGCAATAAGTGCAAGTAATAAGTCGTATGGTCCAGGAGGTGTGGAAAATGAACAATGTCATCCTGCACGGGGTATCAGCTGGGCCATTCACTCACTGTATGTATGAGATGAATTATTAGATGGGCTTAACCTGGCCCTTATTAATCTGGCTTTGGGTTGACTACTAACCACGAATACCGCTGAAACTTCCAGGGACTTGGCGCTATATTCTTTCCAATCTAGTGATCCAAACGTTGCATATGAACCCACAATCCCCCCGTACGCAGGTCAATATTATAAGGCTGGGCAACGTTGAACCCTGAGTGAATGATTTCGTATTAACACTTTGGTGTGTATTTCTTGTTGGTGTCTGTTGTAGGCCGTATGCTGTGTACTATGTACTGTGTACGTAAGGAAGAGTGTGTCGTATAATCGTATTACCTAGGTAGTGATTGTAACTGTAATTGTAATTGTAATTGTAATTGTAATTGTAATTGTAAAATCATTCTCAGGGAAATTACTTTATTTACATCTATATAACTGATCTCAGAATCCCTTCCACTCATTCATCCATCTGTCAGCAATTTGATCAATCTATCTGTCTATTCTTCACCAGCCCCAAACATTCAGCAATGAAGTCATCAATTGATACAATATTGCTTGTAGAGAATGGCTGGTGTATTGTTCAATCCTGGAGAACTGGGCGCAGTCGTTGGATGGAGTGAGGCTCAGCGATATGCGATCGATGGAAAGTATGGCTGGCGACTCTCGGAAACTGCGGCATAATTAATGAATGGATGTACAGGTATACGATATGTATGTATGCATGTATGTATGAATATATATGTATGTATGAATATATATGTATGTATGTATGTATGCATGTATGTATGAATATATATATATATATATGTATATATGTATATATGTATGTATGTATATATATATGTATGTATGTATGTATATATGTATGTATGTATATATGTATATGTATATATATATGTATGTATGTAAGAAAATGGTGGCATAGTATGCCTGGTATTAGCACAGCACACATAGCATAGGTACATACATAACATACATAGCATGCCTTACCTAGCTAGAGTTCGAGAGTGGAATTGTCAACGTGATCATTACAGTATTACTTTTCTATTTCCACCTCCATCTCTACGAATCATTGTTTCCATCTGATCTGTGTTTCGCAGCAGGATGCATATGAGAAGGACTGGATGTGCATGACAGCAAAGCCAATACGAACAGGCAAACTGCACATCTAGGTAGGTAGTTTTGTTCTTCTTGTGATGAACTTTATTATATGGATCTCGTTTTCATCAAAGAGATGAACTTTACAATTAATCTGATACATCAATAACAAATGTCGGAGTGATGATACTCCAAGACTGAGTTTGGGTGGGAATGCGTGGAAGAGCTCAGGTGACAGGAGACCATCTCATCATTCCCATTCTTGAGTGAAACCATCTTTCATCTTGGCAGTGGTATGGATTTGTTTCAAGACATCACACACTTCTACAACACGGAGACCGACGACTCAATATCATCACACATCATCACACTCATTGGTCGAGGTTATTCTTGGTTGAATCAGATCATCTGTTGACCTCTTTAAAACATGACCACAGCATTTACTCCCGACTCCCGCCTCTTCAAAACTCCTTTTCTTCTTCTTCTTCTTCTTCAAGTCCCAGCATCAAGCCAAGATCTCAATGAAAGTATCCACGAAGGTTTGTGCAATCAAAAACTCCGCCGATCAGGTACCCTAAAGTAACTGAACGATTCTCGTCGCCTCGATGTGCAATGGAGGACTCGTATCGCAACGCCGTTATGCTTGAAGAGAACAAGAAGAGAGTGAGGGTAAGAGGATTGAGGGAGGTTGGCATTATATATTCGTGGAGAGAGGATTGTGGAAGCTAGACGAAAATCCAGGCATACGTGTATCGTTCCACCAACCAAATAACCAATATATCTTAAAGGTGGATACATACGGTATTAGGTATAGTACTTGAGAATCTTTTGGTCCCGTTTATGGAAATTCTATTACGAATATGATTCAAGTGTATTCCGCCGTCGGGAGGGGGGTACCAAGATTTCCATGCAACCGTGGATTCTAGACCTTTGGGCTAACTTGACCCGCGATATCTTATAAGGTTAATTTGCAGGTGGGCACGTGGTGGGATCAGTGAGGCAGTGTTCTAAGGCTGATGGATATCAAAGGTCGATCATGATGGAGAGGCTCGAGAGGTTGGTTGATAACAGATTCTAATGTTGTCTAATGTTGTCTAATGCATGCATATGCTGCATATGTCCTCCTTCTCCACATGCTAGAACCCTGCCTTCCTAGGTTTGCTCCATGTATTGTATCGACATTGGTCTGGAAGTTATGCTAGAGCAGGCTCAAGGCATACTTCAATCTTTGAAAAACGCTGAAAAACGCTGAAAGAACCGCACTAACCACTCCAATGCCACCGGTTTTTGATACGTCGAATGAATCTCAAAAGGCCATTCTAACGTTCATCATTCCTTAGTAAGGCGACCCTCAGTTGAATGGCTCCTCGGGCCATATGTAGGAAGGTTCATCGTTTCGCAATCCACGTTACTGCGATCCCTTTCTAGACCCCGCCATGGTCGAATTTATTCACACCCAACTCGATATGAAAGCCATCTAATTATCAAGTCTGCACTACAAATTCGAGGACTGTTGCTACATTGAATTCTTATTTGGGTTTGAATCATGATTCATTTACCGTATCTCGAACTTGAAGAAACATTTGGTCATTAAATTTGAGCCAGGCGAGATGACTTTGATGGGCCACCGTTTTGACAGATCCAAGGGATGCTAATCTTTCATATATTGAGCAACCGCCCTCAGCTCAGAGCACTGCTCAATATTCCATTCAACTTCTGTGGTAAAGTCTTTTGTACAGCTCAAACTCAGGTGTTGAAATGAACAGCATCTCGCCATGAACCCTTAATATACCACATAAAACCTTCAAGACCAATTTAGATCTTCGAGTCTCAGGTTGCCAAAGCAAAATGAACACATGTCCGACGCTCCGCTAGCATACCATCGGTTTGCGAAAGGGGGGGGAAGATGTTAGTTGGCTTGTTTGTCAGGGAGGTGTCAAAGGTTTGGAGGAGTTGGTAATAGAGAAACATCTATCATTTCATACTTCTAATCGTATATGGACAAAAGCCAATAGGATACAGACTACTCTAGTAGTTCCATCATAACCTATGTGATTGTTAACATTGAATCCGGAAAATAATTCCTTCCAGTTCCATTCAGCCTGGTCAGCTTCCTTCACTCCATCTCCCCTCCATTCTATCAACGGCCCAAGCTTCTTCCCACCAAAATTTCTCGACTCTATCACTCCCAATCGTAATCGCGTCACCTCAAGGCTACCGACCACTTATCACTATCAAACGCGCCTACTAATCTCAATATTTAATAAATCAAATCAACTTACAAAACATTCCATCTTGTCGCAAACACCTAAAATGGATATTGATAATGATGATGAGATATTGAGGACACTCGCACATGGTCAATCTATTGATTAGTATGTTTTGCGCATACTTATGATCGCCAGGATTGCGAAGTATCATGGATTCTATACTGACACTTGGGTTATAGCTCGACATGGCCGAATTTACTTGAGAGGTTGATGACCAGATTGGAGAAAGTATGCTTTGATTTAAATTGCTTCTGAGCAATTCTGTACTGTGCGCCGATAGCTAATTTATGATTCCAGATTGTTATTACCGATTTCCAGATCCCCAAACCTCCAACGCACCCTCGCCCCTCCTCGCCTTCACTCTCCCCCAAACGCGATACCAATCCCGAAGACCCCTTTACTACCTCCCAACCGTCGTTAGAATCTCTTCCACCAATCTGCTACAAGCAACTTCTCGATATTCAAAATACATTGAACAAGCAATTCCCAACTCACCCCCCTCACACAATTCAACGTCTATCCGAACTGCTCCTAAATCCCACTCAACACCACCGCTCTCTTCCCTCTTACCTCCACGCCCTCGATCGCGTCGTCCATGTCACATCGCCCATAACTTCATTCCCTCTCCCACCTGCCGTTCCAGATCCAAGAGTTTCTTCCTCTGTCCTCAGTAATGGAACCCCTCCATCCGTTGACCCTCTTAGCATCACCTGGAGTAATCCGATGACTGGAACCGCTCCCGTGAATGGAGGACTAGGTAGTGACGAAGCACTAGGAGGTGCATTGTTAACTCCAATAAGTTGGTTAAATAAGCGGGAATCGAGCCTTTCACACACAGGTTCAAATGGCACAAATTCCGGAGGCGGGTCGCCTCGTGGGGAGGTACGAACAGAGAGTACCGAGACAATTGATGGACCAAATGGACCCGGTGGCGTTGAGACAGTTTCTGTATCCGTAAACGGTATTTCATCAGTTGGTTCTCATGCAATGATGTCGCTACTTTCTTCATCGCCATCTAGTTCTGGAGAACAAGGTTTGAGAGCAGATGGTGGAGTTACACAGGGAGAATTACTACGCCAGGAACAGAAAGCTGGAGTGGTTCCAGCATCGCAGTTGAGAATACAGAGAGAACCCGAGAGAGAAGAACGGACGGGGAAAGGGGATGAAAGTGGAATGGGAGAAGACGATGAGATGCCACATGCGAGGGGTCCAGAGGAAATTGGAATGGAGGATATGGGGCCTCAGGAACCGGGAAAAGTGCCAATGACTGGGGGTGGAATTGATGTTGAGGCTGCTGTGGGAAGGAGGCCAGATTTCACGGAGGAGAAGGAAGAAGAGAAAGGAAAGGAAGGAGAGGACGGCGAACCGAGTGGAAAGGCGGGTGAAGATGCAGATGGGGATGCGAACATGAAAATTGAGGCGAAAGATGACGATGAACAATCAATTACATCGAAAAGAGCAGCAGAAGACGATATTGGAAGTGAAGCTGGGGAAAAGCGGGTTAAAGAGGAGATGGATATTGAGCCACAACCAGATTCTGAGATCGAACCAGACGATGCCAAGGAAAATGCAGTGAAAGGAGAGGAAGATACCACGATGGAAACCGACTCAGAGATCGAAGCGAAGACGGAGCATGGAGAAGAAGATGCAAAGGCAGAACCTGCAAAAGGGGAAACCTAGGCATGTGTTGATGAGGATATAAGCAACCCAATGGATACCAGACCCGAAGAGAAGTAGACGGGTTTGCACAAAGTAGTGTGGAATTCTAAATTGATGATACTATACTGTAGCTAGCTATCACGATGAGAAGGATGAATGAATATAATGGGTTGAGTATAAATTGACATACTAGAGAGTGCGGGAATGAAATTTCAATGTGAAGGTATTGGTATTAGTGATGAATCTGATCTCCTCGTCGTCATTTCTCGCTACTTGCATCTCGCTTCATTTAACTTCTACCTCACACCTCAAATTCCCACTCTCTCCTCACGTTCCCACTCTCCTCCCCCATAACACCCTCGTCCCCCATCACTCCCTCTTCATCTCCTTCCCATCACTCCCCCTTCATCTCATTCATCTCATTCATCTCATTCATCTCATTCATCTCATTCACCTCATTCACCTCATTCACCTCATTCACCTCATTCACCTCATTCACCTCATTCACCTCATTCACCTCATTCACCTCATTCACCTCATTCATCTTCATCCTCATCCTCATCCTCACCGTCACAAGACAAGACAGGAAGGAAAACCCACATTTGTTACACATCTGAATAATCAATTATCACAACTCCATTTTAATATTCAATTAATTTTGCTTGCGACTTTCTCTATCGCAGTTTTTGCGACACATATTTTTACCTTTCGCTAGGTATTATTGTACTCACTTCATTAGATTCTGCCATTCATGATCGTCTAGATAGTTCAGACCTCCCTCCCCTTCCTGACACTATTGAGATTGTGACTCGACTCTTGATTTCAGATCAAGGATATAGATAGTGATATCATCTATTTATTCTTCTATTCTAAAGTAGAGTAGATAGTTTATGCTATTGTGTGGAGATCCCTCTCCGCGCTTCATCGCTATTTCATTGCTTGCGCAATTCGAAAAAAAAAATACACTTCAACAATCGTAATATGTATGTGTGTGTCCCATAACCCATATCCCATGAACGCCCTGTTCCATCCCATCCCACCCTGTTCTTTAATGCCATATCCTACATATGCCAACCCACCTAACCATTCAGCCGTCCATATATAATCCAAAACCAACGCCTGCCATAAGCATAAACATTACTTCTCTTCATCAGGATCCCGTCCCCATCCCCACTTCCACCCCTTGCCCTACAAGTAGATCTGCCTTGCCTCCTTCATCTGACTCTCAACTGGACAATATGGACACTTGAATCTCCCACCTTTACTCAATTTCTGTAAACTCTCCTTTGCAACCACATGACCACAAGGTAACATCATTGGCGGATTGGATTCATTCGTTTGCTCCTTGCTCACCGGACATACGAAAATAGGATGGAATATCATGCTTCTCGGCAATGGTATCTCTACCGCAAGTTCTGTATCCGTTGTCCAATTCGTACGTTTTGTTTTTTGGATCGTAGCGAGTTTTATGAGGGTAGGGAGAGCGATGGCCCCAGCTGTTACGGCGAGATAAAGCGGAGATTCGGCAGATAGGCCAAGAAGCGAACAGAATTCGCGGGTGAAGGAGGTGCAGACTTCAGACCAGGAGCTGGAGGTGTCGAAAGTTTGTCGATAAGGGGATATTTGAAGATTAGATTCGAAGACCATGGCTGTGATGAGTTGCTGAATTTCTTCGAGGAACCGGCTTTGAAATCGAGGAAAGTAATCACGAGCATATTGAAGTGCACCTGGTAGACCATTATATTCATCATCTGGAAGACCGTTCGCCTCGGGACCCAGAAATAACCAAACAAATTGGAGTTTGCTGAGTTCAAATTCAAGATTACTACCTCGAGTTTCGAGTTCTCTGCTGTTCTTTTGTGCCCATTCTATTGCTGGACGGAGGTTCCGCTCTTTGAGCTGGTGTAAGATATTATACATGGTTTCGAATTCGCCTTGGAGTCCTTCGTCCACAGCCTCGTTCTCTGGCGCAAGCAAGTTTGGATCTGCTCCTGGACCCGAGCCATTCTTTTTCATATCTCGTAACTCTTCGTAGAATGTTGATGCTACTTCGAATTGTCCTTCGCGTAAAAGGTGCATGGTAATAGCTCGATTTACGAGTTCGGTATGATTTGCAAGAGCATCGATTTCGTTGAGTAATGTTTGTTTTTGGCAGATTCTAGGGAATGGATGGTCAGCTCGAGTTTTATATGTATGAACATAAGCATGCATCACTCACCGAGTTCACTGCTTTGCCGTATGTACCATGTGCTTTATGGATCTTCTTTATATCATCATTAACTTTCTCAAAGCCATTCTTCAATGGGTGCTGGAGTTTGGTCAAAGTTATGGAAGCGAAATGAGGTTCTAGGTACAGGGAACTGTTCAGTAATCACACATTGTAGTCAAGAAGCAATTCGGAGCGGAAGTAGGGACATTCAATGTTTTCAGGTCTTTATGTCCCTAAGTTCCGTCGCCGACTTGCTTCTTCGGGGATTCAGGATATATGTACCTGATTCAATAGCATCTCTTGCTTTTTCCAGTTGCTGTATGATCTTATCCACATCCTCAATACTTTGATCAAAGCTGGAATCCCTCTGCAGCTTAATGATCTCCTTCTCAAGAACATCCATAGCTATTCACCCCGCCTTAGTTTTTGAATGTAGGTATGTATGTTTGTCGGTACCTCTTGGTATACTAAAAGGAAGCTCAGTGTGAGAAGTCGGTAGTGTATTGTGTATGATAGTGGTAAAGGTATATGTCGATTCAGAGGTGTTAGTGTCGTAGTATGGTAGATGTTTATTGATTTGGAGACAGTTCGTCGTCTGTACGGTATGTAGGATATGATTGTCAATTAACTTTGGCGGGTCTTCATCGGATTTGATACCTTTTCTAGTAACAGGCGAACCCTGGAGAATGATGATTTGTTAGGGTAGCTACAGGTATATTTTACCCACTTATAGAAGGGTGATCAGGGATTGATGAATACCTAGCATCACTGGTGGATGGATGACCTTGATCATTAATGACCGCTTTGTGAATCACAAATCACACGCCCGAGCCTTTGAAAGGACCAGCAGAACCTGTAGGTGATTAATGCAACTCAAAGTTGTGTGATTGCAGAGCCAAAAACAACAAAAGATGGATATCGATTCTTGATCATATGAAACATACTAGGTAGGTAGGTAGGTGGGTAGGTAGATTGAGAGTAATTCCTTACATATATCATTTACCATCCATCTGCTGGGGAGAAAAATAAATGCAATGAAGCTTTTCCCTTTCAACACCGACGTCACATCAAAGGACCCCAGTAACGGTTACCGCAGCACAGCGCAGAGCCTACTAGTAAGTAAATTGAGGGACCCCAAGGACAGAAGAGTGATAAAGGTATAAAGGGGAATAATATGTCTTTTCGTTTCTCGATTCCTCATGCATATGATCCAAATATGAATAGAGAGGATCTTTTGACCCTTTCAAGAACGACTTCTCATTCTTATAAAAGTGGTTCGACCGCTCAAGCAAAACAGAATGGTAATGCCAATGGCGCAACGGATACATCAAATGGCAACAAACTAGAACATGCGAAACAACCTTATGTGTTCGCTGATCCAGTTGCTTTCAGGCATGAGAACATCTCATCATCAATTACAGGATTAATTACTAACGCATGAATTCCAACAGATATCTCGAAGAGGACAGCGCAACGGGAGTGATAGAACGTCACGGAGAACTTAGAGGCTACGAAATCTATCTTGTTGAGCAATGGGCATGTTCGAGGGTCCATCCTACGTTCGTTATTACGACCTATACGGGAGATGACAGACATAGGATTCAAGTAGGCGTACTGGGGATACCCGCAGATAAGGAGACATGGAATCCGAGACTTCGAGTTTACTTCAACGCCATTTCCCAATATCACGCCAGACCTAAGGATACGCCTTTGGGAACACTGATGGTGACGAATTTGAGCAGCTTTCCTTCTGGTCTAAATGTTATTCCGGTACCGAATGGAGATGTAAGGAAGCATAGGGAAGATTTCATTGTCAACGAGAATTTGAAGAGGTTAGGATGTTCTGGAAGATCCGGCATGAGTCTTCAAGCCCCGGCCGCTGCTACACAAGCCAAATTTTTCCAATTGTACAGGACGAGCGATCGAATACCTCTCTATGGCGCTGTCATCGAATTAGTGAAACTTTGTCAAGTCGCCCTGATGATATTTGGAAAATTGGAACAGGAATATGCGGACGGCTGCCTCTGCGACGTCACGGAGAGAGCAATAAATGATTGGTGGACCGAGATTGGATCCGAATACTACAATATCGAGCCCTCCGATGGAATCTTGGGTCCGACTACTGTGGCCGCACTCCTTGGGTTACTCATGGGTGCTAGAAATCGACTCAATCACTATGGAGCCCCGGTGGCGAAGGACGCATTCGATGTTGTTAGTCTCAAGCGTGGTATTGCTTATTTTCAAAAGTCCCAAAAGATGGAGCGTACTAGGAGGTTGGATAGGCACACATTACAGCGATTACATCAAAGCACTGCTAAAGGTGCTGCAGGAGAAGGTTGGGCAGTTCCAAAAGCAGTCAAATCAACCCTTGCAGAAGTTAGTGGGAAGAGTGGTGAAATGGTCATGGGAATGGTTGGTCGTGATAAATCTGGTATTGCCGACATTGAAACCTGGGATCTAGAGCGCTTTATAACTTTGATACATGGAGCGAGATCCAAATGGTTATGGTATGGAAAATCAAGACGGACAGGTGCCGAATATCATGGGAAATCAGAGCCCACGGCAGCTCACATGTCATTCACAAAAGATGATCATGGTGGGTACATGTGGTCTCACAGCAGAGCTGATTCAACGCCACCAGAGGACGATGTAGATATTCGGAAGAAAGAAGTCTCCGGTGATATATACTCCGCACAGCCGCCAGGATCGGCCACGAGCATGTTGGAAACACCAAACGATCGAGAAATTCAACTCCATAAAGCTGTTTTCAAGAAAGCCACCGGCAAAATGAGTGAGGCCAAGCAAGGCTTTGGACGAATCAAGGATGCTGTTGGCCTACGCGGTCATACCAGTAAACAATCGAAAGACGAAATTCGTGAATTCGATGAGAACGGCGGTTATTTTAGCCCGGGACATCTGACTGCAACACCTCATGGAATAGGCATACCATCTAGCCCGACAATCAACAAAGCATTTAGCTGGAAGATCAAACCAGGAGAATATGAAAATGGGATTCCAAAAACTAAAGACTTCACAAATGGATTAGCGCAAGCTGGGCTCCGCGAAAGTGATAGCGAATCACCTCCTGGCAATTCCAAGACAAGCTTACTAGGTGTCACCCAAATTCTAACTGCTACACAGTTGGAGGAAAGGAAAGTCGCGGAAGCCGAAGAACAATGGCAGGCACAGGCGCAAGAGATTCGTCGTGAACTTGTCGCAAAGGAGCCTTCTATTTCAGGATCCATTTGTGGTGAGGGTGATCTTGAAGGCCCAGTTCTAGAAGCAGAACGTAGTGATAATCATACCTTTGTGGCGATACTTCATCGTCGGCATAGTGTTTCCGATGCATCCCATTCTAGGAGACATCGTTGCGAAGATCAATTACAGCGTCATGTGTCTTTCAGTGATGCCGAAGACGCAGTTCTAGCTTGGGAACCTGTTGGTATCACTGACAAGTTTGACGAATCAGATGATTGGCTCGCTTTGCAAAATCACAAATTACTCAACGAGGATTATAAACAAACATATGAGAAGATATTGGACCTTCAAAACAATATATGCCCATGGGTACAAAGGAAAATCGATGGGATCAACCAATTAGACGATCAAGCTGCTCTGGACCAGGAAAGGTTCCAGGAATTACACATGCAGTTGAGCGAAGAGTACCAAGAGTTGAGGAATAATACACAGGATTTTCTTGGTGAAGAACGATCACATGTTACAGAAACTCTCAAGGATATTGAAGTCCTTGGAGCCAAACTTGAGTACGAGCTCAATTCTCTTGTGTCGAAAGTACAGGATGTCGAGGATGGAGTATCTCAATTTGAAAGACAGGTAGATGATCTGGAGGCACGAGCAGATGAATTGGAAAGCATTTTTAAAAAAGAAAGTTGGGCTCATTGGCTTGTTCGCTCTATTACGGGAATTGGTACTGGACCAAATATTGTGGCAGCAAGGAACCCTTAATTTTTATATTAACCTTGTTGATCCGAGGAGATTCATTTAGCAGGCGTTTTGGGAATACCCATCAAGCATTTACATTTATCTGAGCATGGTAGTATGGATTGGAGTTTTAGAGGTGGGGGCAGTGAAAGCCACCTTGTGTGATCCTCATACCACATTCTATTGTACAATATTAATATCGATGAGCACATCATCACCCACAAATAATTTTCATAGCCTCGACGTATTCTGGTGGAGTCTTTTTCGTGCCTGCCTCTTCATCATCATGTCATCTTTGCATCGGTTGTTTACCCAAATGGACCGGCTCAATAATACAGAACTTCCTACAACCTCTCTTCACAGATATCTCTAACTTTACATTCCAAATCCACCACCTCCGAATCCACCACCACCAGCTCCCTTGGCTGCGGCCTCAGCTTGTAATAACTCAGAAATCTTCATTTGGACGTCGAAAAATTTGGATGCGCAGCGGTCGATACAGACGCCTTCGCCTTTGTTGAGTTCGCCCTCGCGGTAATCTTTGGGAATGCACTTTTTGATGCAGGATTGACTGAGTCTACAAGCGAAATTGTTAGCATGGGCTAAAATCATGAAGGTATATCGAGTAAATTGAAACCATTCCTGGCTTCTGGGGCAATGCCGCTCCGCTGCCCCTCCATGAGCCGTTGCCGTGAAGGTAGATCGTTTGAGTTTGAATATAGCTATAAAGATTCGAGTACAGCTAGCTGTGGGAGTTTGGAGGCCTGCCACCAATGATAAATGAATTCATTGACTACGTACTTGTTGAACATATCAGTAATCAAATCCATCTCTTGCTCAGCAGCAGCGATTTTCTCTTGCGAGGATGGTTGAGGACGACCCATTCCGAACATCGACATGATTGCGGTATTTTATGTATGTGAAATTGGGACAAATATGATTCGTATACGAGAAGGGTGTATTAATATCGAATAGATTTGGGCTTCTTTTGGTTTGATATCTTCGATTCAATCCTAGGTGGATGAAACTTTGAAGGGATAGCTCGACTAGCGTCGGTAAATCATTGTTCCGGAGATATACATTTTTGGAAGATAAAACTCGAAGCTGAGCTTCGAAAAATTCATTTAATTTCCTCGTCAACAATAACACTCTCTTATCTACTATCAATTGATCTGAGAGAGTGTAATAATTAATTGGTATGTAAAGTATTTCTTCTTTGCTTTATTGCTCAATTTCACCATGAGTTTATATGATGATTTCCATATAACATTAGAACCGTTGCGACTGACACCCTTCTTCGGGAGAGTGGTTGATCTCACATCGATCCGTTGTCTGAAAAAACTCAATATTTATATTTTCATTTGATTTCACAATGTTTTCCTTTTGAATCTAAGCTAATTGAGTTGTTTTCAAGAATATAGGATGAGTTCTCTTACTGGTCTTCGATTTCTTAGACCCTACCTCTGTCATGATATTCTTCCGGTAAAACCAGCTGCAAATGCTCGACTCTTTTCTGTACATTACTCTTTACGCAGTGAGAGGTCGAACAGACCCTACTGCGAGACTGAAGGGAACATTGAGATTCGTAAGGTAAAGTTGAAGCAAGGTTTAGATCCTACCGAAACTAGGATAAAAAAACTTCAGTTAGCTGGCGCTCTTCATTATCCTAGAATTAAAAAGGTTGGTAAAATCGCATCGGTGAAAAGTTGTCGTGAGAAATGTGCGGAAATGTTACCAGGTGTGGAAAGGGACGAAGCCATTGCTCTTACGTTGCATGGTAAGGAACCATCTTCGAAGCAGAGAATGAATAGGAGTTGATTTTTTGTAGGTAGAATTGAAAGTATACGGAAGTTTGGCTCCAAGCTTGCCTTCATAAACATAATAGAAGATGGTTATTCAATTCAATTAGTAGCTGAATCTGGGATGATATCCAAAAACCAAGATGTCAATGTACAATCGCCGATTTTCTTCGAAAACTTAACCTACCTGATGCAACGTGGAGATATGATTTGTAAGTGAAGCCTTTATGTGTTCATGTTTGTGAATCTAACATGGATCAGCTGCAACTGGTTACCCAGTTCGAACAGAAAAGGGGTTCTCCACCCTCAAATTGATCGAAATACCTAAATTATTAACCCCAAGTCTGGCACCAGTGCCTCAAAAGTTGGAGGATCCGGAAAGTCGTATTCGAAATCGACATCTTGATCTTCTTGTCAACAATGATGTTGCTGCTACTTTACGACTTCGATCCAAAATCACACAACATATCCGTGATTTCCTAGTTCAAGATAATTTCCTCGAATTCCAAACACCAATTCTTGCCGACAAGGCTTCAGGTGCCATGGCTCAACCGTTCAAAACGAATGCAACGGAGTTCCCCGAAAAACAGTTGGCTCTGAGAATAGCTCCTGAGTTATGGTTGAAACGTTTGGTTATTGGTGGTTTAGATCGAGTCTTCGAGATTGGTCCTGCATTCAGGAATGAAGGTCTTGATGCGATACATAATCCGGAATTTACAACTTGCGAATTTTACAAAGCATACGCCGACCTCGAGGATCTTATTTCCATGACGGAGAAGTTGATTTCAGGCCTTGTAAGTCTTGTCAATGGGTTGCGTGATGATCCTCATCAAGTCAAATACATGCCTTTTGTCGAACTTCCACCTTTCGAAGAGAGTTTATACACAAAACCCTTTAAACGAATCGAATTCATACCCACAGTCGAAGCTGCACTTGGGGAAAAGCTACCAGATCTCCAGAAAACTGATGCCAGAAAAGACCTTCTCGAACTCTTTACAAAGCATACTCTCGAAGTTCCCGTAAACCCAACCCTTCCTCGTCTCCTAGACAAACTTGCATCTCTCTACATCGAACCCCGTTGCTCGGAACCAACATTCATCATGCACCATCCTTCCTCCATGGCACCCCTCTCTAAATCCTTCCTCGATCCCAAAACCAACCAGCTCGTCTCCGCGCGCGTGGAGCTATTCATTCGGCACCAAGAGATAGCGAATATGTACGAGGAGGAAAATTCACCATTCGAACAAAGATATAAGTTCAGAGAACAGTTGGAGTTTAGAGATATAGAGAATCCGATGGATACAGTGGATGAAGGATATATCCAAGCGTTGGAAGTCGGACTACCACCGACTGGTGGATGGGGATGCGGAGTAGATAGATTGGTAATGTGGTTGAGTGGTTCGAAGAGGATCAGTGACGTTTTGCCGTTTGGCAATTTGAGGAACGTGGTTAATTTGGGAGCGGTGGGTAAGAGGGTTGGCACAGCTTCATTGGGGGAAATTGAAATAAGGCAGATGAATCAGGAACAGATTTGAAGAAAATCCAACTACAATTACCACTCTGTCCTCCTTTCCACCTTTCGCCATCTTCAACCATTTCATTCTTCTCACTCTCATAAGTTCATACCTAAAATATAGCAACGGCATTCGGTGGGCTCGCTACTCCACCTGGAAAATTCAACGGCGCACTAGTAAAGAAGAAAGAGTATCGATTCTGCTCAGCGCATACCTTTGCCAAATCTTCTAAATTCCAGAGTTCGCCTATTGGACAGCCGCTTGGTAGGGAAGGCCAGTTTGATGTTGACGCGGGTGGAGGAATGGAAAGATAGGAAAGAACTTGAACTCACAACAAAGCCAACAACCAATCATGCAAAACCCATTCCGAATTTGCCTCTGGTGGGCAACACTCAAATCCAATCGTGTCACCCGCTACGGCAGAAAAATGTTGATTCCATATCCATTCCACTGTTTCTTCACATGATTTCACGCCTACGAATTCATGGGCGTTTACGCCTCGATTGCGTTCTTCAGCATTCGCCTCCTCATACCATTTTACAAATCCACTCCGCACAATCAAGATATCCGCCTCTTTGAACACGACTCCTTGTTCCTTTGCAATTTTCTCGATTGTCTCTACACTAATTTCGTGTCGCGTGACTGGGGAATAGGAAATATTGTGGCGTTGAGCGTAGGCTACATAGTCGATTAGGACGGCGCGTCCGACGATGCCGCCGCGGGCGGTCCAGGCTTCGATTACGTTTTTGCATGGGGTCCCTGCAAGGGGAGAGCTGATTTCGGAGTGGGAGAGGTTGTTGTAGTAGAGGGACGTGGCTTGGTGGGCCCAGTGACCTTTGCGAAACTTTTTAATTTTGGTTGGAGGGTTGGGTTGCGGAAGGGGAGTGAAGAGAAGGGTATGAGATGCATTGGACACGTTGAATGAGAAAATGAAATGGGAGTAACGAACGGAGTCCATCCCATTGAGCGCCACTTTGCGTATTCATGCATATCACATCATCATATCCTTTGAAACCAAACGGAGCCAGATCTCGGATTGTATGTTTTGGAACCTCGCGACCGAATCCAGGTTCGTGGATGCGGTCTTGAGACCAGCTTTTGAGAGGGAGCAGATGTTAGTATATTATGTGTATTGTCACTTTTTCTCCCCTGGTGATCATCGAATGAGAACAAAATTTACGGGACAAATAGTAGTGTAAGATAATGAGAAGAAGACACACTTCAATGCAACACTTTTACCAGATTTAATCTCCTTGCTTGCTTCGAGTGTATTTTCGGGCGTAAGTAAATTGAGAGTACCACAATTATCTCGCTCGCCGTTTTGGTCAAAAAGACCCCAGGCAGTTCCTTGAGGCATTCCTGGGACTGGGGGTATTTCTTTAAAGGAGGGGAGATCTTTGGCGTGCATTTTGGAGGTTGCTTGGGGTGAGTGGTTTGGGGATGGATGAGATGGATGGGGTTGAAGTCGAGGAGTTTGGCTTTTGGAGGGGATATGGTTCAATATGTACTTGCATGAAATATACCACAATGGCTGTAAAGTGACGGGTATCTCTCTAAGGCTAATGCAAGTGACCGAAAGCGATAAATGTATTGTGTTTATGACTACTTTCTGAGTGAGGTATCACAATGCGGGGTTAGATTGGCCAACGAACCAGCTAACCTCTTTTGGCTAGAGTAAGAGTCTATCCAAGTATACAGTTGGACCTGAGGAGTCTCGAGGGGGTATGGTTTGTGGTTAAAAAGTCTTCTGTATTTATGGGAATCATGGACGATCTGAAGAAGAGACAGTAGTCACAATTGGCCTTCTCCGTGAACACAAGAGATGTGGATGGTAGCGCCATCTTAGAATCCGATGGATTGAGACTGAGCTTCTTACCGACCTTATACATAGACGTTTGTTTGTGTAGAGCTTGAGAGTCGTGATAAGACGCACCAAGACCCCCTCTCCCCCCCAATTTGATGTCATTCTCTTATTGTCTGTATTGAAAAAATTGTGATATTACGTTGAGCCGGAATTGGATTTTTGCCTTCTCTTTCACCGCTTTTACTTCCGCCCCACATGCTCCAGTCCTCAATCCTCTCTTATCATTACAAATACTCGTAAATGTGATGGAACAAAGTCAACACTGATAAATAGTTCCTTAAACTACTAAACTAAGTCTTAAAACGAACAGTGACGCATGGAACCGGGGCAACGACTGACGAATTCATCATGACGTCGTTCAAATTCCCACTTATGCTTCTGCTGGAGTTTGCCCCCCAAATCCGACCCTAGTACCAATCTTGATGTATATATGCATAGCTACTTGACATATTGGTGAGTGTAACCTTTGAAATTACTCTATATAAATAATCCAGACGAAACACTCTATAATCGGCAGCTGCACCTCACCTCGTCTATCAATTACAAGAATCATGCCCAGAGTCTTCTTCATTACTGGTACTTCCACCGGATTCGGAAACCATCTCGTCCAAGAGGTCCTCGATAGGTAAGCTCTCTTTGAAAAATGCTACAAAATAAAGCTTGACTGATCTCAATATAGAGGCGATATCGCCGTCGCAACTGCTCGTAAGCCTGAGACTTTAAAGTTCAAGGGGACAAGTGAAAAGGTACTATCTCCGACACATACGATATATATCTCTCTAATAGCAACAGAACTTTCTGGCCCTCAAACTTGATGTAACTAGTCAGTCTGATATCGAGAATTCTTTCAAATCCGCAACCGATAAATTTGGCCGCGTCGATGTAGTCGTCAACAATGCAGGATACGGCCTTGCAGGTGTCTTTGAAGAAATCAGTGAGCAGCAAGCTCGTACTCAGATGGAGGTCAACTTCTTCGGTCTTCTTGCCGTAACCAAAAAGGCAATGGAGGTCATGAGAAACCAAAAACCATGTGGCGGCCTCATTCAACAAGTCACTAGTATTGGAGGTCAAAGAGGCGTGCCTTTTTTCAGCGTTTACTGTGCAAGTAAATGGGCTGTCGAGGGCTTTACTGAAACCATCAGTCAAGAAGTGAAGCCAGAATGGAACATCAAGTTCACTTGTGTTGAACCAGGTGGATTTCGAACTGATTGGGCTGGAAGATCTATGCAATTTCCCGAGAAAGGACACCCTGCATATGATCATCTGAATGCCAAAGAAGCAATGGAAAAGAGGAACGGCACTCAAGCTGGAGATCCAGAGAAAGGTGCGAAGGCAATGTACAAGCTTGCTACACTCTCAGATCCACCTTTGCGAGTAGTGATTGGAAGTGATGCTTATAAGGCAATCATGGCGAAGATCGAGGCGTATGGGGAGAATTATAAGAAGTACGAAGAGATCTCTAATAGTTGTGATGTTGACGAATGAGCAACAACATAGTTGAATTGCCTGTCATGTAATTGATTTTTAGAGATGATATGTATTATACCAACGTATCCAACTGAATCAAGAATATGGTGGTGAATCACGATGGATGTAATGGGATTTCTCTCGACCCTTCTATTATGCAGCCATCCGTCTTGGCAAAAATCATGTGCCATTCAAGGAATTCATGAACACCTCCTTCCTAAACAACAAACGAAAAAGACTCTCATCATACCTTCCTTTGATCATGATTGTTATTCTCATCTGAAAAATATCACTTCGGAGGTTCGGACATGGATCAGCCGATAGCATAATTTAATGCCGTTTAAGTAAACAAAGTGAAACCCTGGAATAACCTCAACATTTGAAATTAAACCCTTTCTTTCGTGGTGGTCAGCTGTAAGAACACTGGCATGACTTTGACTTTGTTGTCACATCTCTTCTATTTTTGTTCATACTCCACAAGAAAATACCACCAGCACCTCAAATCTGTACTTTGTTGTCTTCCACCATGGCATTGAGTGAAGAGCTTAGTGGACTCAATACGAATTATTTTGAACCAAAGGAAAACTCTTCTTGCTTGACTATCTATGAGCTCTACCAAGTCGACCAGTACAAAGCACAGGAGTTATTCGAGTTTGAACAATATGTCAAGATCATTCGATTTGCTGAAGCTGTGTGCTCTGGCAATCATCCTCGATCTGGCCTTTTTTCTCAACCTGGCCATGGAGCGCACATAACGGTGAATACTAGTTATACACAAGACATATAATGCACATGCTAATAGTGCTTGTTGATTCTAGGACACGGAAGCTTCTAAGGAGGTAGACGTTGAACCTAAAAAGATTTGCTTTGAAGAGCTCGAAACTACAAAAGGAATGAACTACATGTCAAAAGCAGGCAAGAAGACGAGAAAGAAGGGTAACGTTGAACAGATTACAATGAATGCCAAGAATCTGCGGGGAGTTTTGTATAATCATGATCCAGACATGGACTATTATGAGGTGTTATCGTTGGATTCATCTGCCTCGATTGAGGACATAAGCAAGGCCTATTCTGAATTGAGTATGTTGATATAGTTTTATGTGTGGTTAAACTCTGCTGACAAGTTCCAGGATGGGCCTATAATCCACAGTTCGATGAAGAAGAAACGAGGTGGCACGGAAAAGAACAGGCACTTTTACAAGATATGAAACAAAAATGGAACGACATTCAACGCGCATTCATGATACTATCGGATCATGATAGGAAGTGGAGATACGACAATGATAGAGAGATGTGCCTCAAGTGCTTTGAGCGAAAGAACAAAGAACCGGATGAGTCCATAGCACAAATCCAGTTCGCTGCCTTTCGCGAGGGAGTAGTTCGTTCAATAGGAGCGCCTCATCCTGAAGACCCCCCGGAGCCACACAACGAAGATTTCTTCAAAAGTGTCACCAAAGGCATTTTTGTCGAGGAGAAAGACATAAACTATGATGCAAACTATTATCTTGATCTGGGTGCCAATGACACAAAGGAGAGCTCATTGTGGAATGGAGTCATCAGTAGAGATCATTTGGGGAGCGTTTTGCGAAGTATGGGTGAGGAGATGGCGATCATTCTTTCACAGACGATGAGGTACTAAGTGATTTTTAGGTTATGACTACATCCGTAGTCTCAGGCAGGCCAAAAGTCACAAGGCTATCAATAAGGTGCGCTTCGAATGGAACCAGAAGCTAATCTCTTACATGATACTGAAGGACGAGAAACTTCGTGAGAAATACAACGAGCAAAATTACAGCCATAAATTATACGAATTTTGGCAAAAGGAACATGATTCCAAAGAACTCGAAAGAGTCCACAACTCACAGGTTCTAGTATCAGAGAATATGGAGCCTTCTGGTAAGAATGTTAGTTTGCAGTCAGCTACTACAGGTAATTCCTTTCGAAGACAGTTCACAGAGACGAATGGTGAATTTATGGAGGGTGTTTCGGATGATGGAGCTAGTGCTTCTGATTCGATGACCGGAGTGGAACAAAACACAGAGATAGACTATTCGGTGGCTATTGCACTCACTGAAAAGGTCGGCGATCATGTTCAAGTAGACCCCGCTACTATCACTGACCATAATCCCAATTTAATGTCTCAAGCCTTTTCCATTAGTAAAGTCCCACTACAAAATAATTTTACTAATCAAAATGCCCAATTATCGACTGGCTCAATCAGATCTTCTACACTGCAACGCAAGTTACTAGAGGCTCGGGAAATCCAAGCACAACGTGTAGTTCAACAAAAGAAAGCTCAATCAGAACTCTCAGTTCAAGTAATAGAGCGAAGTGCTAAATTTTCGAAGGAAGCTCGAACCCAACATCCAGCTGCTCAAGATCAGGTACCCAGAACTCTACGTGATCGACAGGCTTTCATACAAAAGCGAATTAATGCACAGCGAGCCGCTGCACAACGTACGGCTTTACATCGTGCAGAAATTCAAAGGTCCTTGGGTTTAGACAGAGCTCCTCCAACCGGTCCTCGAATTCCGTTAGGTATGGCTCCCCGATTGATGACAAGTTCATTTGCACATGGCTTGAACTCCACTTCGCTGTCGAAGTCATGCCCACAATTTAGGTTGAAGATGATTCCTCCTCCAATGATCAATAAAGTTGCTAAGACCGCGGAGTCTATATTACAGCTTTCGAAAGGCAGCGGGCGGGGCCCAGCGAAGAAGAAACGAAGGATCGGGAATAAGGAGTCTGATGGAAAGAAGGAGACAAAAAACGTGGGTAAGGAAAATGGAAATGAAAGGGGTTGTGAGGTGACATTGCGGGATGAAGCAAGAGTAAAAGAGGATCGAGGGAAGAAGAGTAGTTGGAAGGAGGACGGAGAGATATCAGAGGATGAGAGAGGGGGAGAAACCGGTTGGAGACAAAGCAGAAAGAAGGAAATCAGGAGAGACGGTGGCAGAAAAAAACGCAAGAGAGAGCACAGGAAAGACTCATGACGCCCTACTATCTATGGTTCAGCAGAGATATAGGTGATAAAGCCATAATTGGGCCTCTGTTAAAGATAGGTGATACTATATACATAGATATGAAGAAGACTTGAGGGCATGGCTGGGCGCGGAATCAAAGAGATTTTGGTCCAACTTGGGGTAACTGAAATTTGAACTTTGCATGGATTGGCATAAAGTCAATCTAGACTACAGGAAGAATGGAAGCACCACAGTCTATTTTGTTTGCACAATGGATTACAAGTATTCCTAAATACTATTTCAGGAATATTGATCAGTCCGTTTGGTATCCATTCATCACTTCACGTTTGACCGGCCAATGAAATCCCCAACTTGTAATGATATCTGCAATATTATGGAACATCAAAGTTGAATTTTTGTTCGTAGAGATTTGTTGACAAAGATTTCTGGGTCTGCAAATAATACCAGACTCAAAATACCGACGAGACTAGTTATTGAGCGGAGCGTAGACTTGAGTAACTAAAATAAGAAACATCAATTTCCATCTTGGCTTAGTCAAAGTCATAATAGTAACCATAAAGTGATTCTCGAGATTCACTAACATCGTTCGACATACAGGAAGTCGAAAGTTCTCCTACCTGACTGCGGGAAGAATTGTTATATATTCTTTTGAGCTGCATGGGTATGCCTTTGAATAACCATCAAGTCGGCCATCCTCGATATTGCAAATTCAGAATAGAAAGCTCTGGGACAGGATCAAGTAGTCTGTCTCAGTAATTATACTGTATGTATCACGCCATCGAAGATGGAACGAAACTAATGGGATTAGTGCACTGGTTGCTAGATCATCGAAAAAAGATACTTGAGAGCCAACGTCATCCATATTCAAACAAACAAAATGTGTATTTTAAGGCTATTCCATTATATCGTTTGTCCTGAAGCCAACGGACTTACCTATTCGGTGCAGTTCTGTCCATCTAAAGAAAAGATAGGGGCCCCTCTTTCCGAAATGCTTGACACTCACAAGTTCCTGTACATAGAAGAAGTATTACATCGAGCTACCAGATGTTAAGAATCCACAGTTCAGATGCCCAGCTGGCACTCAAAAACATGGCTTAAAAACTGGGCTATGTGTCCTGACGGTGTTGAGCGGCAGGAAGACGTGCTTCTCACACGAATGGCCAATGAAGGTGTCACAATTGTTAAAGCTTTTGACAAGACCTTCGAATATGATCATGATAATTGTTGGATTAAGGAGAAGGTATGGAAGCGTGGAATGAGCGTTGCAGAAATAATTCACCAGGTAAAGACGACTTTGACTGGAAAGAGAATTAAAAGGAGATTAAAGGTAGACTGACAACTCTGGTGGACTAAGCCTTGAATAAACGGAACCTCTCTTGTGGAACAGGAACAAAACACACCCAAGTATGATATCGACCAGGAAGTCTATGAACAGAAGCATTTGGTTGTTCTCGATGAGGAAGTCCTCGAAAGCTTGTGCGAGATTTTGAAAGGGCTGGCGGAGAAAGGCTTTAGAGTGGATCCTTCACTCGTTTCATATGGAGACTCGACCGCAAAGGACGATAAGGAGTGAGCAACTTCTTTGATGGAAAAATGGCGCTGTCATCTGGTATGAATGGGCCAAAAATGTGTTTTAATCGTGTGTTGCTTTTCACCAGAAGATCACAGGAATGGTCAAGCTAGTTTATTTATCAGTTGCTGGACTGAATTTACGATACTAGTGTTGAGTATCAATTCGCATGAATTTTTTGGATAGGAAAATCAATTTTCCAACTTATGTGTGGCTAGTCTGGAGTATCTCTCTTTTGAAGGCACTTCAAGGCGAGATCCTCAGTAGACATTGTGACTCAGTACCTTTTTCATCCCCTTATAACCAGTGCAGTGGCCATTTCCGCAGTAATCTGTATCCCATCTACTGAAACAATCCCAGAATACGATGCATCCAGTACACTCCAAGGAAATACTTGACAGCCACAATTCCAGACAGTGTTGGGATTTACAGCAAACAGTCACTCTGCCATGGACTCAGTGTACTGGAGAAAGCTACACTAGGGCTAATGTCAAACAATTATTAGATCGTGAGAATAATCCAGTACGGAGTATGAGTGATTATCCTAGAGGCTTCTTAGATCATTTCTACCATCTATTCGACTGTAGAATATTGTTGGGAGGGGCCAAAATTCGCCGAATATGAAAGTTCAAGCCCTTTGGTTGTTTGCACACCTCGGCAATTTCGCTAGCGAGGTTCTCTCCTGAGGGGCTTCCACTCTGCTCTCGGCAGCAAATGCCGACTCTTCCTATGCTGCACACTAGAAATTACTGAAACATAGCTTTTGGTTGAAGAATATTTCTGCTTTGTAAATAAATTATGTTGACGTTGCATCCTGAGCGCATCGTCTATAGCACATCTAAGTCCAGCCGTTCCGCCTGCAATCGCAAGCCTAGACCACCGCATCTAATGGGTTTAAGAGAACAAGGTTCGAAATTCCTGTTATGCAACAAGAACCAAGGTCAATAATCCATTTGTAATAGACTAAAACCGTATACATTGGTAATTGTGACATATTCACGTGATACTTATCCTATCATCGATATTATAAAAAGCGGGGCAAGGTTGTGATTGTAAAAGCTGATTCAGTAAATTGAAATGCTGAGTAATCGAGACTGACCAATAGCATATATTCATTACAAATAACCCCAGCCACAATTCAAATTTTCTCCTTCATCCATTGGTCAGCCCTACACTCAGTCTAGCAAGTGTAAGGCTCTTAATCAGCAACTCATAAGCAATCCGATAAGCATTTCATCATCAATAGCTCAATAGGGTCAAATATTGTTCAAATGCTTATAAGTATCCCATCAAAGAACATTCTTTTTGTTTCTCATTCGTTCTCAAACATCCTATATAACTCTCGTGATATCCAGATGAAGTTGCTTCTCCTCTTTTTATCAGTTATCATTGCAGTTTTCTCAATTATATTCAGAGATCCAATTATTGAATATATCGAAACCATTAGTTACTTGGTTAGAAATAGTACAACCACAGCTCCTTCACAATCACAACTTTCTCAGTTTCCATCCGCTTCATACTTTAGCACATCTAAAACAGTCAACATGACAACACCAAGAGGAATTCAAAAAGCCTTTTTGGCACGCGAGCAAGCAGAGGGTGCGGGAGCAAGAGTTCGTCGTTCAATTGGCACACCTCAACTGAAGAACTTCTCACCATTCCTTATGCTTGATCATTTTACCATTAAGCCCGGAGCTGGATTTCCAGATCACCCACACAGAGGACAAGAAACGTAAGTTGACTATTTCGTTTCTCCGTATCAAACTGTCACTGACACAACCCCTCATCAGGATAACCTACCTCCTCGAAGGTGCCGTCGACCATGAAGATTTCGCAGGAAATGCAGGAACTATTGAAGCAGGAGATCTCCAATTCATGACTGCAGGAAAAGGAATAATGCACGCGGAAATGCCACGACAAAATCTCGATGGCAGCGCAAATGTTGGAATGCAACTCTGGGTAGACTTACCCGAAAAACTTAAGAAATGCGAGCCACGATATCGTGATTTACGAGCCAAGGAAATCCCACAAATCGACATCGATGATGGAAAAGTACATGTGAAGATTATTTCAGGCCAAAGTCATGGTGTTGATAGTGTACAAGAATTAGCTTATACACCAGTTTGGATTTTCGACGTAGAAATCAAACCGGGTGGAAAGATTGAGCAATCATTACCGGCTGGGTGGAATGCTTTTGCCTATACTTTGAGTGGGGAGACAGTCTTTGGAAGTGGAGATGAGAAGACCAAGATTGCACAATTCCACAATGTGGTATTCCGTCAGGAGGGAGATGTGGTGAATGCAGAAGTCGAAGAGTCTGCTAAAGAAAATGGACATTTTAGTAAGTTCATTTATTTGATTGGTTCTCGCTTTATTTTGAATTACAACCTACCAAACCCCACGGCCAAAATTGGCAGGAGCAAAAGAGAGGTTAAACTGCTCTAATCCCCTCCACTACAACTTCAAAAAATCTATAACAAGACCGTCATCTTTCAGATTGAAGTCAATCAAAAAAGCAAAAGGATAGTGCGTTCGCCGGGAATCGAACCCGGGGCCCATCGAAATTGTATCGTACTCGTCCTATGAGAGAAGAGATTGATGGCAACGATGGATTTTACCACTAAACCACAAACGCTGGTTATTGCTTGGTTGATGGAAGAGAGATGCTTGTTTGCCAATAATACAACGCGAGAACACCACCATCCAGACTGCTTTGCTGCGGGGTTGGTTGCAGAGTTTGCAAGAGCGGGTCAGTATATGCAAGAAGGGGCCGAATGTTACCCGAGTGGGGTCAGACTGCAGCCGAGATAGACAGGGGCATTTGTTGGTGGGGTCAATTCCAAAGCAAGTTGCTTTGATGTTTAAGTCATACATTCCTGATATATTTGCAACTACTCAAGCAAATACTACTCTGTAATGTCTAAAATTCGTGGCTGTTGATAGGGATGAGTTAGTGTTGTCATCAAATGTATCCATAACTGCTCATTCTAGTCACATTTGTCCAATCTTTCATTTATCTCCGATAATCCATTATTATCTCTCACAACATAAGAGATAATATATACTAATGAGTGCTATAGTTCTAATAGCAGGTCAACCTCTCGACCAAAAGGTAGTCCAATATGGACCCTTTGTTCTCAATTCAGAAGAGGAGGTATATCAGGCGATGATGGACTTCCAAACCCATTCTAATGGGTTTGAAAGAGCCAAGGGATGGAAAAGTGAGATTGGAAAGACGATGGTCCATTAGAGTATTTTAAGCAGTTACAGCTTGGGGAGTTTTTGAAAGGAGATGGCGATGAATGGCAGGCGAATAAAAGGAGGAGTTAGGTGTCTTATTATCTGTAGCCTGAGACTGCCTTCTTGAGTGAATTAACACAATGGGAATATATCCCTTTAGTGTACGATTGCAAATTATAATTTATTATTAATTCAATGGTGTTTGTGCTATATGAGTTCTTGTTGAACTCAATAATTTATTGCTCATCTTCTTTGGTCTGGAATCTTAGTTTGAGTATATCTGGTGATTGTAAGTTGCAAAATCAGTATGTGGACTCAAGAGTACCAATTGTTGAATCTTCCCTTCACACTTTATCAATTTTATACATACGCTTTTCTATTGAATTCCCGGATACAGGAGCAGAATTGGGACGAGGATGGGATGAAATGATATGGATTGAAATGAGTGCCTATCACTTGTTCGAGATGATAATTGAAGTTTTGTTCGTTAAATCTAGGATGTCATGTGTCATTAGCCTCACAAAATGTAGCATCTTTCATTTGTGTTTGTGAGATTCTATAATAAGTATACTAAATCACTTATTAATATCTTACTAATCAAGCTATATATATATTAATAATATAAGTATAATATGATTTTATATTATAAAATTATATTATTATATTATAATATAGCTATATCTTTTATTAAATTGATTTATAATGAAATAGAATAAGATAGAATTATATAGAAGATTGTTAATAAATTAATTAAATTGATTAATTGTATTTTTCTTTTATAATATAAAATGATTCTATAAGATTCAATTTAAATTAATCTTATTTATAAATATAAAAACTATTAGAATTTCATTATAAATTATATAAATCTAGGATATTCTTTAAAGAAAACCTAGGAAAAAGTAAGCAAATTCAGTTCAATCAAGCTTTCTTTTATAATTTATTTTCAATTTAATTCTTATATTATATTTAATTCATCTCTCAAGCTAAAATGATTAAGTCTTCCACTATTATTAAAATATTAATATTAATATTATTATTATATTCTAGAACTTACCTTCAATAGTATTCTTAAAAGCCCCCATGAAAAATTAATTTTCATTATTGTGTCTGAAATTGACAGTTTCGTGGTACCCGAACTTCGGTAGCTCAAGTGCTTACCCATCCCTAGCAAATGACAGAGACTGGAAAGTTAATCTCTGTGCCTCTTCATCCACAACCGAGATACTTCCATTACAATGTCTAGTAGTCCGCTTTAGAGAAAGCATTCCCTGAATCTCTCCTTTCCTCTCTTGACAAATCTCAAAGGAACAGCCTCCCCAAACATCTTGAGCGTAATAAGAGTCTCACTTTCCTTTACGAGTTTTCTCGCTCTCTTCATTGCTTTCTCATAAACCACTCTCCTATCTCCAACATTCATCTTCTCAATCTCCTCATCACTCGCCCATTTTCTGACATCCAGCTCAACGCTCCAAACTTTGAATATCACAGCTAATGCAGCCATCATCTCAACTTGCGAGAATCTTTTGCCCATACATGCGTGAGCGCCTTCTGACCAGGGTATGAATGCTCCTCTACGTGGTACAAAGAGTAGACTGTCATTTGAAGCGTCGGGGGAGGCTTTGTCTTTTGAATTGCTCTCATAACCGGGTAGCCATCTCTCAGGTACAAAGTCATCTAAATCGTGAGATTTATCACTAATCCGGCTCTTTAGGCATTGCCAATAACGCGGGTTTCGATGCACACCTATAACATCAAAATGCAGAAACGTATTTGCAGGGATCGTGACAGTGTTCCCGTCAACATTCATTTGTCGCAATTCCCAGCTTACCTTCGGAATGGCAATAACAGGGGACATAACTCTTAAAGACTCGTTCATGACGGCTCCAACAAAACTGTCGTGTAAGGCTGGGAAATCTGCTTCATAATTCCAGGATTCTGGTGACCTGTCTGCGAGGACTGTATCAAGTGTTGATTGAAGTTGATCTTGTGCCGTAAGGGAAAACGATAGGAAGAGAATTATGTAGTGTATTGCGTTAGATGTGGTTTCGTGACCGGCAAAGAGGAATATAAAGGAATCGGCTATCGCTTCTTGCTTGGTGAGCATTTTCTTTGAATCTTCCGATGATTCGAGTCGAGTCGCTTCTACCAAGGAACCTGATGCTTGGTTAGTATCTGTTTCGTGAGGTCAAAAAGTATATGCACCTATAATGCCCATGGCTCCAGAATCCTTATTCTGACCACTCTCAATAACTTTTAGGTTGTGATCAAATAGCTCATTGAAATAATCGCCACATTCGACAAAGGACTGATACCAATTTTTGTGGAAAGGCGAGATACCTGAACTCACGTTAGATGTCACCTCTAGTCCAGATCTACCAAGAAAGAGATTCCACTTACTGTATACCCACATCGGAGCAAGCGCTGCCCAAATGATATCATGAATTAATGTACCCAGAGCTTCCTTAAACATCAATCGATGAGTACCCTCAAGCTTGGTAGTATTGAAACCAGGAACTATATTGTCGCCCAACTCCTCATCGTCTCCTTCCCAGCTCTGGCTAATGCCATACGCAGCCCCACTAATAACATGTAGACCTAAAACTGCAGTATCCGGCGCAGTATCCTTGACTTCCAGATTCTCTTCATCCGAACCTCCCGCTCCTGACCAATGTCTTAGCATTCCATACGCCTGGTTCATAGTCTCCTTCCACACTACAGCATAACTCTTTTCCGAAAACGCAGGCGCGACAACTTTCTTATGACTTTTCCATTCCTCCTTCTCCGTGGTGAGAATATTCTTTCCATACAAATCGACAATTCCATATACCTCAATGGGTTTCTGGAAGTGATTTCGCCGAATAGACATTTGGTATATGGTGTCTGCATTACCCATGCTGAGATAAATTTGACCAGGACTAATGATGAAGTATGCTTCGCCATGTAGTTCACGAAGTTCCTGACTATAGTGCCACCCTCGATGGGGGTCAAGATACCTGCTATGAGTTAGATGATAGCATATATGTTAATGCAGTGCGACCTTACATAATCATTGGATATAGCCAATTTTGAGAATATGGTAGACATTTCAGAATACTAAAAACGATATCATGGATACCGGTCCAGAGAAATCCAGCTATTCCGCTGATTGCTACACCAAAGTTTAGTATTAAGTTCACAACGGTACGGAGGGTTCACAGTTAACTAACGAGATACAATGTAAGGAAGTCCCGTAGTCTTTGCGATGGCAATATTTCGTTTCAGCGAAAGGTACGCACTGGAGACCCAAAGCACGAGAATGGATACGAGAATCCAGATTAGAGAGAAAGCCATGCTGTCGAAGTTGTCAACCACGACTGGGGAAGTTTCGCAAAGTGCAACAGCTTGGTGATATATATTTTCGAGTTTTGAAATCAACGAGGGGAGAAAATTTAAGAAAAATTTTGAAATTAAACCAAAGCTAGCTAATATTCATTGTCGTATTAATTTTTTATATAAAATAAGCTTGTCAAATTCGCTGCGGTCGAGAAGAACGAAACCACGACCCAACGAGAGGGGGTTCATTACCGGTTCATATAACGAAAGACACAGAACTACAGACAGCCACCAATATCGTTCGATACGGTATATGTGTGAAGCCAGAAACGGAAGGGATGATGCTGATTGGACATGATTATGCTTGAGTCGATGGTGGCGTTTTAAAATTATATTGTGGCGTTTTCTTTTCTCAGCTGTCCACAACTGGATGTCACCAACCAAAGATATCAAATGAAGAATTTGCGAAGTTTAGATAGATCTCATAGAGATGTGTATAGTGAATTCTTGAGTGGTCTGTGAAATGTTCAGTAGGACTAAATGAATCAAGAACACAACACTAGATTGCATTTTGAATTTTGATGGACGAGATGAGATCCTCATCTTGAGCAGTAGATTGTTGCCGAATCTATAGTCGTATTGGCAACATTATCAGCATTCGGGTTGTCTTTCCACAACTGTCATTGAGTGACATGCCAGGGCTTCAAGAATGTAGTGCTAAAACAGGATTGTATGATTGAATCAACAAGTGACTTCAAAATACTTGAACGTAGCATAGTAGGCCGTTAATCTATTGTCAAACCAACAACCTTTGCTCCTTGTCTTTCTCAAATATATTATTCTCACGTCCTTCATCTTCACCACTTTTCTCGCATTCCTCCATCTCCTTCCCTTCTTCGTTTCTCTTCTCCTCCTTCTCCTGGTCTTTTTCTTGTTCATTCTCTTTCGAAATCCTATTCAAACACTCCTCAACCTTCACCATTTTGGCAAATAGTGCTGTCCTGGGCTCATTTAAGGCTTCAATATCTTTCTCCTCAAAGTTCTTCAGCAAGGCTACTTTGTCAGGATGATGTCTAGCTTCTTCAACTGCAGTCATATGTGTCCCATAATGTTTATTGCATGTGTTTCTTGCCCCTTTTTCAAGAAGGAGCACAACCATATCATAATAACCATAGTAGCACGCACCCATCAGAGGTGCGCCGTGTGAAGGTTTAATGACTTCAAGCTCAGCTCCATGGTCTGTGAGCAGCTTCGCTATTTGTAAATTTTGCTCTCGAGACTTTGCTGCTGTACAGTAGAGAGCTGTTTCATATATACTGACGTAGTTGACATACTGGTATATTATATCTTTAGGCACTCTTCTCAGTAATCTATGCCAAGTCAGCGTTCTAGTAGTATTTACAGAGGTAATGGCGACAACTATCAGTAAATATCACAGCTTTGTAATACTATATCACAGCTGCAAAAGCAATAAGAAGATCAACCCACTCTCTGGCTACCAAAAGCAGGAATTTCTTGCAAAGAATCGTGAGTAAAATTCCCGACCCAAGGGTTTGGTAAGGATTATCGACATCCGCTATTAACTTTATTCGGAATTCTTCAGTCAAAGTCTGGTTGAACATAGCTGAGAAGGGTGTCGGCAACTCATCATTGTAGGTTGGATTAATGTTCATCCCAGCGGTAACGAGTATTTCTACTGTCTCTGCATTGCCAAAGCGGCAAGCATAAGCCAGTAGATCACTCCCATCTTCACAAAGAATATCGGACCTAACCAATTCTTTGACCATAACCTCCACTATTTGTGGATACTCTCCCCATATCGCGTTGTGAATTGGGCAGAGTTTCTCAAAATCCCGAGATAGCACATTAGCTCCGGCAGAGATTAGGAGTTGGCATGCTTGATATTGACCGTCCTCTGCGGCAACATGTAGAGGTGTTTCTCCCCACCTGTTTTGAGCATGAAGGTCTGCTCCTGCTTTCAAGAGTTCTTTCATAGTATTCAAATGGCCTTGAAAAGAAGCATAATGCAAAGCTGTCCCGCCGATATCCTTGGCAACATGATTTTCATTGCTCACAATCTGCGCCTCCTCGAAGCATCGAGGATTAGTAAAGCTGCTTTTCATATCAACTTCACATTTATATCCTATTTATAGTTCAAGAGCAGCCGAGCACGGCCTAAATGACCGTTATATGCTGCAACATGTAAATGGTGGACCTTCTGTTGAGGCGTCGACTTTCCTAGTGTGGGAATCTTTTCCATAATCTGTTCGTCTCCCAACATTGCGGTACAGTGAAGAGGTGTAAACCCAGCAGTAGGTAGTTGTTCTGTACACCTCACTACTCCATCTAGAGAAGCTCCATTATCCAATAGAAAATGAATTATCTCTCTGGAAGAGCTTCTCACGAAAGCTCTGAGCAATGGACTGCACCCGCAGAAACAAGCCCTCTGAATGCAGTCGCCATTTTGAAGTAGATGTTTCAGAGTCGCAAGGTCCCGACAGATGAGAGCATCTTCAATTGAGACAGATACAGATCTATTACTGTCCACTATATCAGTCTCTGTGGCTGATCTATTGCTATTCGGAGAAATGGGCTCAAATATTACTGCATATGAAAAATATCAGTAATTAGAATGATCTTGAAACCTTAGTCGTTGTTTGGAACTATATACAGCTGGAAGAGATAGTAAAGACTCGGAAAAAGTATACGACAGACTTACAAAGTTTGGCTAAAGTTTGATTCAAAATTTCCGCTATACTTTCATGCTTAAGATCCAAAGCAAGCGTAGCGAAAATAAGCCCTGCATCATCACGAGCTTGAACATCTGCCCCGTATTGAAGAAGAGTCTCAACGATTAGCTCACTGCCTCCTGCAACAGCAAGATGTAGCGGTGTCAATCTCCGAGGACCGTAGATAACGTTAGTTGCGGCACCTTTTGATAGAAGCAGTTCAGTGATGTCAGGCCTTTTGCCATATATCGCAAAGAACAATGGAGTGATACCAAAACTTGCAGTAACATCGACTTCCACATCACTCCCAAGTTCCAGAGCATACTGTATAGTCTCTTTGGTGCCATATATTGATTTCTGATGCAAGGGTGACACCCTATCTATCTTGACAAACCATTTATTTTCCGCCATAGTGCTGACATTGATTGTTTGTGCTGTGCTTAATCCAGGTATGAATCGCCCCCAGAAATACCCCCTGGTTCTGCAATTCCAATCATTGATTCCTTTTTCGTCAAGAAGTTTACACATTCCTGAGTTTGGAGCTAGAGATAGAGAGAACTGGGATCCGTATGTTTGGTATATGTTACGAATGACGGCTCCATATCTTGATAGGGAACCAACAGCTTTTGTATTTCCAGATTGAATAGCTGCTACAATCGGCGGCAATCCCGGTCGATTCGAATTTCTGCGTTCCATCCCACCCGAAGCAATTCCTCTACGACTGCTGGATGAAAATGAAGACATGCCAGATCAAGCATAGTGTAGCCATCAAAATTCAAATAATTTCTGTCCAGATGGCTCGCAATTATCCTTTCAATGAGCGATTTGTCTTGCGACCCGTGTATACAGAGTAGTTCAAGTGCTGTTCTTGGAGGCATTCCCTCATCGGAATGCAAAGCATCTACCCCAAGATCAAGAAGCATTTTGCTGAGCTGGTCTTGACCATGATGAAGAGCAATATCAAGAAGGCTGCGACGATTAACCAAGGTACTATTCAGTTGGTCTACGGAAGCTGCAGACACTAACATGAGTGCAATTTTGATTGCAAATGGTTGGTGGCAAATCCTTTCAAATTGCGCGAATAATATGTGTAGAGCGGTACTATTAGATCTATTGGGTAGTTCCAACAAATTGCAATAGTTGATCCTCAGGTGGACCTTTGTGTGTTCCATTTTGTCACGAAATCATTATCGTCATTATCTTCGTTGCCATTATTCCAATAGTCATCATCCGCACCGTAATCACCCCTGTCTTTGCCATCGTTTCGGCCATAACCATCGTCTGCACTCATACATTTACGGATGTATATGCTATCGTTTTCGCTCGTGTCAGCAATTCTCCAGCGTTCTGCCGCCAATAGAATCGAAATTGATCGATACTCAAGATTTGTGAACCCCCGGCTTTTACAAAGATAATGAAGTGCTGTCTTTCCTTCCCGGTCTTGTTGAGTAATCATAGCTCCATGTTGTAATAATAATTTCATGGAATTAGTCACAAAACCATCGGCATATTCACTTCTCTGAACATCTTGGAGTACCAAATTGCAAAGTATTAATAATGCTGATCTTCTTTCGTTGTCCTTAAGTTCCAGATTTACGTTCCGGCTAGATGAGAGTAGTAGTCTAAGCATTATCATTCCATGACTGGGAGAAGTATATCCTCTGCATATCAACATATGTAAGACAAATAGTCCAGAGTTAGATACAAAATTGATTATGTCTTGTGTGTCGTTGGGAACATCCCACCGAGAATCTGAGCCCTGTAAGTACGTGTTCTCTGTCCTGATGCCGAAAGAAGTAAGACCTTGAGATTTCCATAAAGATGATTGCAGAGTAAGTTTGAGGACCTTTTCGAATTTATAAGAGTCAGTCTTAGCTGCAAAATGCAAAGGTGTGAATCCATCCTTTGTTGGTGTGCATAAATCTACACATGATTCTTCAAGAATTGCAATTTTCAATCCCGGTTCAATAGTAGATTGTACCGCTTCATGAAGACAATTGAAACCAGCTTTGTCCTGACATAGTATGATAGATAGATCTGAGTTCCGCAAAACAAATCTGAACACGTCACTTGACCCAAGCCTTGCTGCTGCCATCAGTGTGGCCCATCCCTTACTGGTCTTGGTGAAAAATGAATGGCGTTGTTTAGGAGACTGAAGTAGATATTCCATCATGTTGAGGTCTTTGCTAGTGGCGAAATGAAGTGGTGTGACGCCTAATATGTCAGACTGATTGATATCTGCTCCCTGGCGTTGTAAAAACTTGGCAGTATCTAACTGTCCGTTCTCAACCGCCAAATGAAAAGAGGTTGGAAACTTCAAACTGGAATCACCATACTTGATATCATAAATCCCATGAACAGTCTATATTTCAGAAGTCGAAGTGGGAAGATCTACCGAGGCGCCGTGATCAAGAACGATCCTGGCAATTTCTGAACGTCCACCTTTCGAAGCGCGGTGTAGTGTGCCTAATCCGTCTGTTTTGGAACATGAATCTATTTATAAATTCTTTTTCTTCGGGATTTTGAGCACGGCGTGTGTTTGGCCGAATATGAATGCTGTTTGTAATGCAGGATTCTCATCAATAGAGTCAATTTAGACAACGGAGTCGAGGAACGAATTTGAAAGAGTCGTGTCTATCTTTTTGAGTTGTTGCACAAATCACATTAAACTAAAGAGATAGACACAGAGCATTAGTATGTAAAAACCCCTAGCCTCAAGCAAATACATTTAGGAAGGTTGTATTGGAAGAACTGACATTGGTTTGATATGTCATTCTTAGACTGCGATTTTTGCACAAAACTTACAGCAAAGCTGTCATCAGACAAGGCAAAATATGATGGACGATCTGCTTCAAGAGCTTCAATAGATGATTCAATAACCAAAGCACCATGCTGAAGTAGTGTTTCCCATCCAAAATGGACTTTGATGGCGAGCTCTAAGGGAGTTGAATGTGGAAGATCTCCCCATTTTCCCATAAGTGGATGAGAACGATCCACTTCTAACTGTAGAACGACCTCAAATATTCTCTCCATGGCGGTGATATGAGTATTTTCTATACATCTCACGCGCTGCACAACGTGTAGGACTTTCTCGGGGGCCACTGCGTAAGCCAACAATGTGTCTATATCACGGTCCCATTTATTTGAGAGTATTTGCTAGCGTCTGAAATTAACCATTCGACGACATGATGAAGTGACAGCAAGATTGCAAAATGTAGTGAACTAGTGCTCGCAATAATTTTAACAATAGTACGGTGGTCACCGTTAAAGTACGAGGGGTGCAAAAGTTCCTGGGCCCAAGGAACGAAATTCTCTGTCTTCAGAGGATTAAAGAGTCGTTTCAGTAATATTGAAATACCTTCATAATCGCTCTTATCACACGAATGACGAACAAAATTCAACGAAGCGTATTTCTCAATCACAACATTTTTGTCTGCGTGCATAGTGTAGAGACTTATATCTCGAAATTCTTCGAACAATAGATAGGTCAAACAGACCTTAGCCATATAAGCATTTCGAAAATCATGTGAAGTGCGGTACATGGAATAGCGGTCATCCTGAACTTCAAGTAGTAAAAATTCCTTGACGCTGAAATGTGCTATTTCAATTCGAATGTCCCACGGTCCCTTAGTCTTCCTGACGAGACTACTACATCTCTTCAAGATACTCTGCTCATTCAGAATTCTGTCTCGGTCCAAATGCTTATCAGACAGGTCTATGGATACGGCTTCGAGTAATTGGGCTAAAGAGAGTGGTGTAACGGCACAGACTGTCCATATCAAGACTCGACGAACAAGCTCTTTTGTCTCGTCACTGCTGAGGTTGATACGGTCTAGAATTCTCTCATAAGTTTTGAATAATGTCGGAGGGAGTGAATGCAAGGCTCAACTAATGTCTCTGGGGGGATCGAGGTCGCATAGCCGATCTAGTTGGCATGTTACCCAGCGAACTAAAAGTCAGCAATTGGCATTGGTTAACCGATTGGGTTGATACAACTTACACATAACCTGTGCCTCATCCACTAAACGTTGCGCGAAATGATTTCTTCTTTCAGCTCTTGGCTCTAGGTGAGCCTAGAGTTATCACGCAGACGACACTCTATTTTCGAATGTACGTAGAGTTCCAAGTCGTTTCTGTGTACTGCAATTGAAAGTTTTGTAAAATCTACCAAGTACCTCTCGATTTCTGGTCCGGACCGTGAGGCCAAGATCATTTTGATGTTGCTGTCTTTGGTAGCGTTGAGTTTAGTTAGAAGACGTACAATATCCAAACGACCATCTCCGCATTCATCTAGAGCATCAACAACAAGAGAAACGTTGTCGAAGTAACGTGATATATCCCGAAGTAGTTCATAGAGATGCTCTACCGATATTAAATTCGAAATTCCAATATCCTCATCTAGGCAATAATTGACCCAACATGCTTCTAGCTCCGCAAATCCACGGCGGTCGGCTAACACAAGTTGCTTAACCAGAGAACCCAAGATATTTAGAGGATTCTATGTCTCTGTATCCTTGCAATCGCAATAAAAGAATGCTAAACCTAGAAAGCAAGAAGTTTTTCATCAATTTTAAACTAAAATTTCAGGTGGAGTTGGAAATCGTATACAATCACCATCTTCAAGCTGGTCAAAAATACAGCTGATGGCAGAGCTGCTATTTCGAGTCAGCAAAATAGCCCAGAAATTTATTACTTGATGAATTACATTAATATAGTTTTTCCAGCTCCAGCTACGACAAGCATCAGAATAACTATCCGAGTTGGGGTAAGTTTGTTGAGAGAATGGAGTGGATGCTTACGAATACCATACAACCACAACTTCGATTCCTTTTCATCAAGCCAGGACTTGAAATGATCTCCCTTGGTGAACCACTGTGACTCTTAGCTGAAACTTCCAGAACATTATGCAGGAATGAACTCTCCTTACCTGACCAGTACCTGGTCGTCGAAGTCTCGTCGCCATTTCTTGATGTCTTTGACTAGGATCCACTAGTGGGTGCATAGATTGACGGGACACTTCCCAACTTTCAAAAATTTCGAAAAATTTATTCTTCAATTATTTGATATTAGAATTTATGATTTGATTATTTCACCTTGAATGAACAATTACAATAATTCTTAAAATATAAAATTGGATATATCAAGAGATATCTACAAGTCCATTTTTGGAGTGTCCCGTCAGTCTGTACACCCACTGGTGATCATATGGAGCTATTCATTCAATAATCTCCTTTTGCTTTTGGTCTGGAACGTGACCACGTTAGGTTGAACGTAAGGGAAAATAAGTGCCACGAAGCACCTACTCAATACAGATACCGCTTTCTCCTTCCTGAGGCCAAGCAAATTCGCCCGTATCGCTTCTATATTTAGTCCTTGTATCTTCCGGTCACCGAGTGCATCAAATAGCGCATTCATTCCATCCACTTGAAGTGCAAACATCAAAGTAGACTTCTGTGTCGTCACATCATCGATGAGTGCTCTGGTTTCATCGACGCTGAAAGGCCAGATAAGAGCTCGTCCTAAATTTGAAATTTTCCGGCCAATCGCCGACTTTTGACTACATATATTGTCGCGGTCAGCTTTATATAATCTCTCTTTAATCCTGTCAAGTAGTGTTCGGCAAGCAACTATGTGTTGGAATTGAATGGCGGAAGAGATTGACTCGTCGTCAAAACGTGAGATGACCAGGCGCAATTGGTCAAGAATACCATATAGATCAGTCATTCTGTTGACAAGTTTTATGACTTCCTAGGCAGATCCCTTAACTTCTTTAACATATTTGTAGCTCTTCCCAGCTATAATATTGAGAATAGATATCAAACTAGAGATGCTGGCGCTCACTGATAGCGGGTCCATCATGTGAATAGAATCCAAATCTAAATTTTGAATTTCTGGCTCAGTGTGCAAAATCCTGTTTTGTAATAGGCACTGAAGCTGCGAGGGAATGTGTTATGAGAAGGCTCAACATAGGCGGTTATTCAAACGGGCGAAATGGTCACTAGATGTTATAACAGAGGGCGAAGCCAATACAACAGCCACAGAGCTGCAAGAGAATTGTACCAAAGGCATACACAACATATCTAAGCTTCAAAAAGCCTGATTCAGCGTTTTTATGCGCCAATCTCATCCACTCGAATGATCCCTGGACGCCTTGAGGCCACATAAGCCTTACAATGCGTTCGTATAGGAGAGACACCTAAAGGTACAGCATACACTGCCATTCCGCCAGAAGTATGCCTTCAGCAGTTGCTATGACACATGATTTTCAATATACGTACTCCAAGGCTCGGTATCAGGCAGAAAATGGATATCTGCTGGCACGGAATCATGTTTGATTTGCCGGATGACCGAGAGGTTGATGAGCCGTCCTGAGAATTTTGAATCAGATTATTGTCTTTAGTTGCTCAAATGACATGTGCAGCTTCGATTGGGCATAATAAAACTCACTATTTTTGCTCATAGACACTCTTTGATGTTTATGATCGTCCTTTCGTTTAGTACTAGTGTATTATTTCCACAAGCCATACGACTTCTGAGATCCCAGAAACATCTGAAAACTTTCTCAAACGCAGTAACGCACAACGTGGCAAGTTCAAAAAGAAAAGAAAGAACGATTAGGCGGTCCAAAAAATCGGAGTGGAGAAATCAGCCTCAAAACGCAGCTTCCCAATCTAGATACTAGCCCACCAATCAAGCAGGTGCGTTGTGGTGACACAATACAAGTCTCTTCCAAAGTCAAAAAATGAATTTCATCAATTTTTGAGATTTTTTGAATCATTGATAAAATTTGATCAAAAAAATACCCAGAATTTTCGAGTGAAAAATAGGGTGTATATTCCATCTCCCCTCAAAAGCTCTCCTAATGCTTCTCAAAAGACCTCTCCTTGTCCTTCGGAAGAGGCATCTCATTAAAGCCAAATGAACCAAATAAGGAATTCCGTACTCGACATCTTCCTGGCTAACTAGCTCATTTTCGATTGATCAGTAAACATCTTCGCTTCAGTGTATCAGATTAGTACACCCGATTTCATAACTAGCTTTCAAAATGTGATTTCATAATCTCATAACCTTTTAGCTGAAATCAAAGAATTATTAAATCCTAACTTTATTAATATAATTTCAAAATCAAAAATTTCTATATAGAACAAAAGCTATTATTTTATTAAATTAATCTTTTAAATTTGAATTCATTTAGAATAATATAATTAAAATAATAACGATTTTAAAATGATATAATATTTTAAAGGTTTTTATAATTAACTTTTGAAAAAAAAGTCTTTAATCTTTAGATTTTCAATTTTCAATTTCTATTTCAATTAATATAATTCTAGAATAATTGAAAATTAAACATATAATAGATTTAATTATTATTTATTATAAAATATCATTTTTATTTGTTGTTTTTAATAAATATTAATTAAATCACTTAATATTATTATAATATTAAGGGAACTAATTATAATAATAAAATTCTATTATTATAATAAAATAATAAAAATTCAATATTATAAGAAAAATTTCTTATATTCTTTATTTTCTTTATATAAGGAAGAATATTATTATAAAATAAAATAAAGAATTCTTTATTCAAAAAGAAATTCTTTATTAGCTCTTTATTCAAAATAATAATTCATTATTTTGAAAAATTTGAAATATCACGTGGAAGCTAGTCCAAATGCGGAATGACAGATGCAATATTAATTTTTCTTTATTATAAAATTGATTTGAAATCAGAATTTTCATGTACGCCATCTACATATTATAGGTGTTACGGGAGCTGCCTCTAGGGTCACGTGGAAGTGTCTAGAGATCTCTCGAGGTGGTTTAGACTAGACTTCAAGTAGGAATTCAATAAGGTTGTAACTGGTTGCAATTCTCGTAACTATAGTAATGAAACTAATGATTGTTCTTGAGCACGAAGCTCTACATTATAATGAAACCCATTCCCTTATATAGATTTTCGTACCTTATGAATCGACAAGTCGATTACCGTAAAGCCGATTTCGACAAGTCGGTTTCCTGATCACGTGATGTCCATCCCGTGACTGGTAATGATGCCACCGCTTATCTAACCTGTGCTCTCTAGCCGACCTGTGACTGCTGCTTACCCTGTGCCCACTGTAGGGTAGGTAACAACAAAAGATAGGTACCTATCTTTTAATCACTGATTACTTATCTGGTTACCGCTATCTTTCGTTACCCTTCAATTCAACTGTCCCTACAGTGCTGTTTTCGTAGGTTCCAACACCAAGGCCTTAGGTTTATCTTATAATCCATGTTGCGGTGCGGGTACCTCCGTAACAATAGGCTGTATAGAGGGTAGGAAAAAAGCATAAATAAGTGGCTTAGGTCCCTGTATTCAGATCTTTTTCTAGTACCCACTTTTATATGTATTCAAGATTATATAATACAATAACAATTCAAGCTTCAATAATAATAGTAATTCTATTTATAAATTCTATAAGCCTAAGCTTCTCATATAGTACTATTATAGTACTATTCCCAATCCAGCCTAGTCAATCCCCTACTAAGCGCATAACCTACAATATTATTAAAATCAATATTAAATTAATAAAGTTATTATAAAATAAATAATAAAAGTATAACATCTAAATTATCACGGTGCAAGAGATAGGTACTAGGTAAGATGTATGATATTCTACAAGGAGTAAAGAAGGAGGCGGAGAGGTGCCGACTATATCGAGGTTGGATGCCTTAGGCATCCATATAACTACGTATTGAACCCGTGACATAAATGTTTTTGATAAGGTATAGAAAAGTTGTGTTTTAGAAGCTAGTTATGAAATTGAGTGTATTTGAATGACCTTTAGCCGAATCGTTTACAACTACAAGAAATGTAGTTTTTTCCTTAGCATTTGAGATTTTTTCCATTCCGGCATTTCAATTCTGCACAATTGATTAACAAATTGATTACCATTCGAATTTTTGTGCGGAACAATCTTGTTGGAGCTGCATCCCCCAATCATCACGCAAGATCATCTACCCAAGAATGAGATTATGTGGTAGTATAAGGCGGTAAAACTGGTACATCATTCTTCGTCCCGTCTCCACATATACCCCAGACTAATTCCAAAAACACAGGTCTAGCAACAGCGACTTGAATAGCGGAGCCTGACCATCTAGAAATTCGCGTAATGGAAGCCAGGGGCTTCTACGAACAAGATGTTGGGAACAAGAGTTCTGTTCCCGGATTTGCAAGTTATGGAGCAAATACTGACCCATCAACCGCATTAGGCACTCCTGAAATCGAACGGAGGGTTATGACTGAGAATTTGACGGGGCGAATAATAAAATAAGTCTTATCATTAGGCCAGAGGGAGGAAGCCAGGTAGCCGTTCAGCTAGGGTTTTCATGGTGTATGGCAATTTTCCAAAAATGTGAGTGATTGTTGAAATTGACAATCAGATACCATCTTGAACATTCGGTGGCTCATAGAATGCGGCTCGAGCAAGTTTGCGACGAGAATTATTTTATAGATTGCGCCCGTCTTAAGGGTACAGAATAATGATGAGAGTTCGGAGACTCCAAAAGAGACTTTGAGTCCGACTTATCATAATTCTTACACTTGCAAATTCTCACACACTTTCTATTCCTCTCTCATTTTTAGTACTAAACAACGCAAGCAAGATATGAAAATCGAATAATCCAAACGCAGTGGTATTTTTAACACAAGAGTTATAGAAATAAAACCACTGCAAGTAATCAATACATCCGCTTTTCCTCTACTAACAGAATACCCACAAGCGACTATTGATAAGTTGCGGGTTGACATCCTACTCAACAAGCTGATACTTCAACACGACAATCAGATACCTTTGCCAAGGTGATAGCAGCGGATAGATCGCGAGGACAGTATTATTTGAATCCCAAGTAGAACTTCGATAACTGCTGTGAAGTTGGAACAGGACACTAACTATCCAAAATGCTCGTACACCTAGTGCGTTAAATTGCGTGCTGTGGTAGCATTTCAGGAGCTGCCTGGCTATCATAATTAGTGGAATTAGCCTAAGCAATGCGAGTCTGCCTACATCGTGTATCTTGCCATAGGAGAAGCTCAATTCCACTCAACTTCACTCCATCTTACTCAATTTCACTTGAAACGAATACGAATATGCGTGATTAAATAGAACAAGCTAATACTCGGTATTGATAAAGATCTCAGCCGAGTGCTGGGTTTGAGATGTCATGCTTTTGATGATCGGGTACATATGCTCAGATGCTTGGATGAACGTTAAGCACCAGCTTTCGGTTCAAAAAGTCGAGGCAATAGCTACATCTGAACCTAATCTTTAGACAAGAAGCTTTGCGTCATTATATCTACCATTGGTTTCTAGCCTCCGATGATCAATTTCCCTCGACCAATTTTCCATCCAATTTCTCCTTTGCCGCCTTCACAACATCCACCCAGCCCCTCGGCAATTTCCTCCCACCCCCTTCATTTTCCTTACCCAGCCAAGCTTCAGCCTCCTTCCCAAACTCAATCAAAACTTCTTCTCCTCCCCACTCCGCACTCCCCATTATCCCCACTGGAATTTTACCTTCTCCTTTTTTCGGATCCACATAGCCAACTGGACAATTGATGCCCGGAACGCCGGTGAAATTAGCCAACCATACGTATTCCATATTCCTAAGACTCTTATTTGGATCGAATGCTCCATGTTGCAAATCTCCCTCATGCTCGATTTCCCAGCCTGGAACTGGTG